TGGAAATCCTGAGACTATACTTTTCAGGACTCAGGTTGATGCATAAACAAAAATTCTAGAGGAAAATCATTTGTGTGCTGAAAAGCAATCGAAAAACTAAATACAAAGTAATTAGGTGCATTTTGATAAATGAATTATATAAGATAAACTTTCTATTCCGTGTGAGGTCCGTGTTTGCCCTAGTGATCATCTTTAATTGATGGCTTTGTTTTCAGTTACCATGTTCATCACAGTTTAGCATATTTTTTAATTAGTAAATGGCTACATGTCTTATTAATCTATCCGTTCTGGAACTGACCCTAGTAGAATTGTCAATTTCTTATCTAGTGATCTCCACTAAAGAACGAGTTAGGTTCTTGTCTCCCAAAGAAAATGAATAGAGAAAACTATGTATTCATAACGTGTTAGATTCCACCAAGACGGAGATAATTTCGCGTATGCTCACTCTATATTTATCTATTGTTTTAAACAAAGACGTGAGATTTTAAAATGTAAATAAATTTAACATAAAAAAATATTATATTTTTAATCTGTTCATTTAATTAATGAATATTAAAATATTATTCATACACTTAAACAGGATTGTAATATTATGCAAATTATATAGGACCTCCATTAATCAAAAACCTTAATTTAAGACCGAAAAAAAAAAAAAAAAACAACGAAGGCTAATACATGCATGATTTGCTTCGTTGCAAACCCTTTTTGTCAGGTACAACAAGGTGAGAAAACATAGAATCAGGGATTGAAATTGGGAAACCTTTTTGTTAATTAATAACTTTAAAGAAAAAGAAATTAAGAAGATGTTAGAGGATTCAATGGACAGCTGTTTTTTGTCAATATTGGCTGACATTGATTGTCGATACACATGACATATCGAACATGGGAAAGCACTGAAGATTTTAAAAGGTTTAAAACCTCTGCTTTACCTAATGACAAAAACTAATACCCAGAAAACTATTTTTTAAATAATTAAACTAATCAAAACCCTTTTTCACTTCTCCAATCTCCGCCCATTAAGCAAACGTATTGTCTCCACCTTCCACAGCGCATGGAGTTTACCGCTTGATTAGTGCTTGGAAATTACCACGATCGTACAGCCTTCGTACACATTAATTAAAGAAAACCTGCCTTTTTTTCAGAAAAGTAAAAAAAAAAAAAAAGGTCATTGTTAAAACAATGTATAAGAGAATGTTCACATGAAAAAATTTTCTTCTTATCATTAAGGTCAACTTTGATAGACCGATAAGCTAAAGTACCTGATGAGGCTTAGCTCATGAGACTCACAATAGAAAAATAATTTAGACAAATTTAAGGAGTTAACCTTAGGTCATTTATTTCGGTCAAATTTTGTTTAGAAGTAAAGAAGGCTTATATGTTAACACTTAACTCGAATTATGTAATTTTATTTTCAGTTATATAAATTGTAAGGTAAAGGATGAAAAAACAAGACTAATGTCACGGACTTAAAGAAGAGTCTTGAATCTTACATCGAACATAATAAGAGGGTCTCTAGGGTATAAAAGGGTTCACACTACCTCTGTCTTGAGAGGCACCTTTTGTAAGACAAAATCGTGAGCTCAGAAGGGTCAGAGCGGACAATACCTTATAAGGGTATGAACTGTGACAGGAAGGCTGATCTGAGACGCCGGAAAGGTGAATGTCTGAGTCCCAGAGCCACACGGATTCGAAGCTTAAGTCTTGACCCATGACAAGTGATATCAGAGCCAGCTCTAAACCGTTCGATCCACGCCAAGCACCTCAAGGGATGCAGGCAGGGTGGTCAGCCTTCGTGACGAGGGTGTCACGAGGTTGGGTGCGGAAGAATATCACGGACCTAAGGAAAAGTCATGAATGCTTTTTGTAGGACAAAACCATGAGACTAAAGGGGCCAGAGCGGACAATACCTCATAAGAGTGTGAACCGTGACAGGAAAGCTGATCTGAAATGTCGGAAGGGTGAATGCCCGAGTCCCGGAGCCGCGCAGGTTCGGAGCTTAAGTCTCGACCCGTGACATTAAGACTTTCCTTATTTTTTGCTAAATACTATTTTTTTTACTTGTACCGTTTGTCTTACATAATCACTGACTTGAACATCAAAATGCATCATAAAATTTTAATTTTAATGTTATTTTAATCATTTTTTTCTTTTTTTGACAAATTAAACAATTTTCCTTTCCAATCCAAAAAAAACCTCAATAAATTTAATCAAACCTTGTTATAGAATATTGGTTTGTTTGTTATTAGATCGTCAATGGTACCAAAATTAATTTATTACTTATAATTAAAGTATATGCGCTAACACACACAATCTTAGCTTATTAATTTATTTAAATGATTCTTAACTCTTCAAATTTTTTTTCTTTTGTGAAACAAATACTGATTATTCACGCTATACTTGCATTTTTTTTTATTTTTAATATTTTTCTTCACTCTTTGATCTCATCACAAAGCTGCGTGATCATATATAATCATTAATCAGTCACAGAATCTAGATTACATCAATCTCTAACAAAACTTGTAGAGCTGCAGTTCTCTAAATGAACAATATATAGCTTCATATATACACCTAAATCAAACAGAATAATTATAAAATAAATTCAAACATTTGGTCGTCAGCAATCAAGTAATGAAGCACTTCCATCTCGCTTCAATGAGACAAAGGACGGCAACTATAATATTTGAAAACAAAAATTGGAATTAATTTACTCAAGGAATTATAATCAACACAATCACGTAGTAGACAATAAAAAGTGGCCAAATGGAACATTCTCCACTACGGCTGCTGGTACCATTTCTATGCAATCATCAACATGTTTCTTCAATACCTTTTTATTCTAATCATATAAAAATAAACATAGTCTTTGAATTTATATTTTCCTTTTGAATCACTTTAAAATAAGCTTCTAAGTTATAATAGATATAGTTAATTAAAACATTACCAACTAAAATTTTACAATATTAGTGCTATCTTATTAAATTTACAATTACATAGCATCAAAATATCCGATATTTGTAATTTTTTTCTTTGAGAAAATATGCCATCAGTGCACAAATTACTTACATATATTGAATTTTTGTACAGAGTAATTCACTGCTTGATAATAAAAAAAATGTTATAAATATTAAAATTTGATTTTTAAACTCATTAAATATTACCTTTTAAAATTGATTACACAATCAAATTCAATTAAACTTTGAGTTTTCGTATACTAAAATTAAACCATGCAGAAAACCATGCGAGGAACAGGCATGATGGAAACGTCCTATCAAAAGGAATCATTAGATATCTAAACTCCAGCATGACATGACATTGCAACTTCTTCTTGCAACCATTTGGACATGAAAAAGAAATTGTTAGGCCGATTTATGGTATATATATGTGGGGGATGTGGACTCATCTAATGGCGATATTGATAAATGGCACTCTTTTATAGTGGAAATTATCTGAAACCCCATTTATAAATGGCTCTGGTGAACTTATAGCCCTCCTCCTACTTGCCATATATAATATGTATATGTATATGTATATATATATATTTATATTTGTATTACGTACAAATTTTATAGGGAGCCTCAATTCTACGAGATGGTTATTAGAGATTTTTAAAATAAAATATAAAAAAAAATTTTACATTAAAAAAAAAGATAAATAGTTAAAATTTTTTAAAATAAAGAGATAAATTAATTTAAAATGAATAGTTTCAACTATTTAAAAATAGACAGTTTTTATTTATTCAAAATAAATAATCATATATGTAAGAAAAGACACTTATTTGTTTATGAAAAACTCCTTTGATTTTCTGAAAATAGACAAAGATAATTCTTAAAATTTTCAATTTTCAAATTTTTTTTATAAAAGTTTTATTACAAAATTTTTTTATTGAAATTAGTGATCTTATGATATAACGACGATTGTTCGGTGGATTGATTTCATCAATACAAAATGCAATCAATCACTAAACTTTATTTTATTATCAAGATTTATTGCTTACAACTTTTTTACACACCTAATACGTAAATAATATGGTGAGGACAAATAAAATCTTAAGAAAAATAGTATCATTATACGCTTTAAAGTCTTTTTTCAAAATTTTAAATTTACCAAAAACAATAATTTTAAACTTTCAATGTTTGCTCTAACAATAACTATATTGTCATTTGTACGGATTTTAGCACTTTCGTATCTCACTAACAAATAGATACAAACAAATATTTACCTACCATGTTTATTTAATTAATTACCAAGCAAATTTCTCAATCAATATTAAAATCTCAATTAAATTTGAACAAGAATTTCCAACAGTATTACCGGTCACTCCATTTGAGGTGTAGCAAAATGACGCCCTTGCTCTACATCAAAAGGTCTTCACTTCAAGTATACATATAAATATATATTCACTTATATTAATATAGATTTTACATTTTTTTTATCATTGGATAAAAATAATTAAGGTAAAAATATTATTTTGATCTCAATTAATCATAGATTTAGTTTGATCCAATGATAAAAAAGTGTAAGATTTACATTGATGCAAATGAATCCCTATTCAAATATATATTCATACCATGATGTATACTTAATTAATTACCAAACAACTACAATTCCAATTAAGGAACTTGAACAATATCTCTATATGGTGTCCATGCCATATTTGATGAGGTGTTGCGAAAAGACCTTTCTCGGCATGATCAGAAGAAATGTCGTGCCGAGCGATGTGTTCCACTAGAGTCATATAGCTAGGGTGACTAAATTCATAAATGAATCGATCTAGAAATAATGCTAAACATTGCAAACTTGTATTTTTTCATGCTTCATTTCTTTAGGCTATTATTAGCATACAAAGTGCTAGTATTAGTTTTTGTCCACTTTTGGAGCTCAGCATTTCTTGTAATTCCCACTTTATGCCTGTCTAGATCACCTGCTGTGCATATATATACTCCGTTTCTCCCCACCCAACCCCCTCAACTAGCAAGTGAAATTCAACAAATAACGCAGGAATAAGGAAATAAAGAATCCTAAAAGGAGTAAGAGGAAGTAGTTTTGTTTGCCAATGGGCTCGATTGTTATAGATATTCCAGATGGAGAAGGGGTTGCGCCCAGCAAAATAGAAAAGAAGAAATTTGATAGTTCTTGTCAACCCATTATTTCCTTTCTTAGAGAAATGAAAAATAAAAGGCATGGCATGAGAAAAGTGATTCATAGTATCAAGGTTGGTGTTGCTCTCGTTTTAGTTTCTCTTTTCTATCTACTTGATCCTCTGTATAAGCAAGTTGGAGATAATGCCATGTGGGCCATAATGACTGTCGTGGTTATCTTCGAGTTCTTTGCAGGTTCGTATATATGATTTGCTTGTTTGTACGTGTGGTTAGTCAGTTTTCCAACAATTATTACAAGATTTTACACAGTTTTGCTCACTTTTGTGTTTTATGTTATTATGCAATGATTATGCCTGTCAGGCGCTACTCTCAGCAAGGGATTAAATCGTGGAATTGGGACTATACTAGGGGGTGGATTGGGGTGTTTAGCTGCAGCTTTCGCCCAAGCAGTCGGTGGGATTGGCAGAGCCATAGTTGTTGGCATTGCTGTCTTCATATTCGGTGAGATTCTACCGCGCTAGCTAAAGCCTTTTCTTTTTAGCCCAAGATTAAAGTTTTACTAGACAATTAGTAGATGGATATAATTAATACATATAGACTATATTTTTAACTTGTTTGAAGTCATTGTCATGATCATTTTTAATTTTTAAAGCATGCGATCTTGACCGAAAGTCTGGGGTGATGAAATCTTTTCAGGTGCCGTCGCAACGTACACTCGACAGGTGCCAAACATTAAGAAGAAATACGAGTATGGAGCAATAATATTCCTCCTCACTTTCAATCTGGTTGTTGTATCGGGTTTACGCGCTGAACAAGTCATGCAATTAGCCCGTGAACGTCTCTCAACCATTGTTATGGGCTTCATTATCTGCATTTTCACAAGTTTGCTCGTCTTCCCCATATGGGCTAGTGATGAACTTCATGACTCTTTTGTCACCCGATTTGAAGACCTTGCTCGCTCTCTCGAAGGTATTATTAATTTTACCCATATACTTACTCTTTGGGTCTACAGATTTTCTTTCGTACTTTTCCTAGTGGGAGCCCAAGGCTAGGGGTTAGGCCTGGGGCCTGGAGCGAGACAGGTGTTGGAACATGACATCTTACATTTCTTAATTAGGGAAATTAAGGCTGAGTGTGATCAGGTTGGTTGGGTGGAGCACCCAATAACTGACCACCTAGGCAAGGGCCCGGCTTGTCTCTACTTGTATTTGATGAAGTACAAAAATGTTTCAAAGTGTATAGTTAGCTTTATGGCTATCATGGCTAAAATTTCTATTTACTCGTTCTAAGTTTCTAACCATAAACTTGCATGTTCTTATGTTTCATTTATTGTAGGATTCTCCAAGGAATACTTTGAAAATATCAACGAGAAGGAAAAGAAGTCTAGTGATAATTTCATTAGTAATTGCAAATCAGTCCTGCACTCCAAGTCAAAGGATGAATCATTGGTACCATATTATTTCTTCCTATAGAAACTCACTGTTCACATCTTCAAAGTACTTGATGGTCATCCATAAAAGATAAACAATATATAGTCCAATTCTTGTTTGATAAACAATGGAAGTTGTGCAGGTAAATTTTGCAAGATGGGAACCATGGCATGGAAAATTTGGGTTTTCCTACCCTTGGGGAAAATACCTAAAAATAGGAGAGGATCTAAGAGATTTGGCTACAATCATCCTTTCACTTAAAAGTTGCCTTAGACCATCAACGCAGGTACAAAATGTTCATAAAATTATTTTACATGATCAAAATATTTGAACGAACGTTTTTCCAATGTTTCTTATGAAAAATTTTAACAAATTCTTGGTTTAATTATTTTGAAATTTTGTCATCAGTTGCCGGAAATTCTTCGACAGTCAGTTAAAGAACCATGTGAAGCAATTGTAGCGTCACTTGCCTGGACACTAAGAGAACTTGGAGAAAGCATTACAAAGATGAGAAAATGTGGATCTGAGGAAACGATAGTGCCAAAACTGAAGTCAGTTAGGGTAGAGCTAAGTCGCATTCTAACTCCTTCCACACATGGAACTACTGTGGAGAATACCAATGGTCTTGGATTAGCAGGCTTAGTATATTCTTTAATGGAGATGGTGGAAAAGATGGAAGAATTGACAAAAGAAGTGGAGGAACTTGGAAAACTCGGAGGTTTCCATAAAAATAGTTGATTAATTATTTAAATCTATGTGCATATTCCTCTGTATATATATGCCAATATTTTGGGCTGGCTATATACAGGAATTTTGAAATGAATTCCCAAGAAAACAAATAGAGACGGTATCCTGGGAAAAAAAGATTACTTATTTATTAGTTAAGATAGATATGATAATTAGAAAAGCGGGGTGGGGAAATAAAATGTCTGAGTATTTAGAATGTATTCTGTGGTGATATTAAATTAAACCGATCACTATTCAGGTCTATAAATATAAAATCAGATGTTTATGGCCTGTGACTAGATCGCTTTAATCCACCTGAATGTGTGAATTGGATCTCCTTGCGTGCCTGCGTGGCCCATTACATTGTAATCTGCATTTGTGCCCCTGAGCACTAGGCTGGCTGCTGATGCCTGACCTAATCTTTGTATTAATATCAAAGCAGATGGAAGCTTTTGAAAGAAAAACCAAGGGCAGCTTCCAGAGTATTGAAACTTGAAAGAGTCGATCACTTCGGAGTCTTAGCTCAAAGCTCGAATGCAAATTGGCCTTTTTAACAGGACGGTCGATCAGCACGTAAGCTTGTTCCGCAACAATGTTCGGACTTCCAGAATAAAAAGATTTTTCATCCATCAGATAAAGATAACGAATGAAAATAATGGAGTTCAAACTCTTATTTTACATGTCTTTTAAAACTATTTAATCATTAAATAAAAAGCTGTATCATTGACTCTTTCACATGACGTCATAAACATAAATACTCCATTCCGGGTAAAAAAGTAAAAAAAAAAAAAAAGGATTGGATCCCAAATCATGTAATTAAAATTAAAAATAATACTGCTGGGCGCTGGCTAAACTTAACCCGTAATGCCTCGTAAGAGAAAAAATAACAGCTATGGGTATATCTTCTTCTAGACAATGGCAACTGGCAAGTAGCAACGAGCCTCACACATCCCCGGAATACGATCTGTGGAACAAGCAGTGAGTAAAAGATATACTTAGATACCAACATGGAAGCGTATGGTAAAAAAGAGATTATATAAAAAAAATACAGATGCACAAGGACAAAAGTCTAACATCTTCATTTATTGATTTGATGGAGAAACGAATGAGAAAAAAGGAAGCCAATTAAAGTAATCGGACGCCTCATGTCTGATCAGAAATAATTGAAACAACAAGCAAGAAAAAAAAATAAAAATAAAGATTCAGATCGGTTATCTTCGAAAACGGCAGCAGCCATGATCTGATTACTTTTGTTGTGCAGTAATATCAGAAGTGTTCCAAACACAAGCGTCACAACTGTTCTTTGCAACTCTGTTGTCTATTCCAAGGGCAGTCCTTTTGCCACTAGTTTGGCCTTTGTCCTCGAAGAATTAGAGACCGTCAAACCTACCCGCAAAGGTTACGTTTCTTCAACATCTCCCAATATCCTAATGCTTTTGCCTATGGTCATGCGGCTTGTAACCAAAACCTCACCAGCTCGGATTGTGCTACTTGTTTGGCTGTTGCTAAAACAACCATCTTTGGAACTTGTCAAAGACGAAAAGGGTCTCGATCGGTGCTCCATGATTGTACAATTAGGTATGAGCACTATCCATTTAATGACTAAACAGCTTTTTCACTGGAATTAATGGACTTTCTGATAAATGTTTGTTTTGTAGCACCAAGTGTTTGCAACACTGAAACCTTATCTATTTTGGTGTAATCATATCCATTCCTGTTTCGATTGTGGATTTGTGGTTTAGCTGTTCACTTTCTTATCTAATTCTGGGTTCTTGGAAATAACTTTTGCACTTTAATTTATTGATCTTAAATGGAAAACATTTATTGGCATACGATTCTTAACGATATAACATGAATAAAAAATCTGAGTAATTGCAAACACATGTATAACACCATCCAGTTGGATGCCAACACAAAAAGGAAAATGATTTAAATATTTTTAATAAACACAGCAAACAGAACAATTTGCATCGCACTCCAATATTATTTTTATAGTAGAAGCACACAGCATTTTCCCCATACGTGAAAACTGGAAACTATAAAGAGACAATATCAGGGGTTGTCCTGTTTTTTGCCATTTCATCCTTGCTGAAGCAAATTCCCTACACGCCATCATAAAAGCATGACATCCGTATGAATTAACTACCGAATTTTTCACACTTGTTATGAATTTCTCTGTCCAAGAATCAAATTTTCACACTTGTTGTCTAATTCATTTCATTTCCTATTTCAACTAAGATTGGAGTTTAACCCTTTTTTTTCTCTTTCCACTACTAAAAGAAAGCCAATAAGATGGACGGAAAAGAAGAGAAAAGATGAAAAGACCTGGGCAAATAGGTTGCCAACGCCACTGGAGTAGAAACTATCAGGTCTACCATTCTCTAAACACCGGAAACCGCTATCTATAAAAGGGCAATCTGAAGCTGGACTCTGACGCAGTGGATAGTTATCATACCAAACCCATTTCTCAACATAAAATCGCAATTATCTCCACCTTCATCCAAAAATCCAAGACGTTGATTCTTATTCAGTGCTGTTTCGTCTGCTTGTAATGCTGATGATGCAGCACCACCAAGTCCAAACCAAGGGAATCCATGGAAGATGACAGCCTGGTAATTTAAGTAAAATAAGCAAGCAATGAAGAGACAAGTAACCAAAGCGAAGCCAAGAAAATCAAGAAAGGGTTCGAGAAGGTTAAATTGCTTGAGTTTCTTGGAAAACTATAAATGGGTTATTGCGTTCAAGTCTTGTGTAGTTGTGCTCTTTGTCATACTTGTGAACTTTAAAAGAAAAAAAATCATTTACACTCATCTAAGGGCTGTTTTTCAAAGAAAGATTTTGGAAAGAAACGAAATGTGGAGTACCGTTCTAAACTGTCAAAACTCAAGGAAATAGACATGTTTTTACCCATGCAGTATAGCCAAGAAAGTTTTATTCCCGGGCTCTAGCAAACTTATGTCGGGAATAATGACTCAAATCTCATAAGAGATTTATTTGAGATTTATCAGATATTACTTAATGGATAAGAAGACTTGTAAAAGAAGAATTCCCAGAGAAAGAGGATTCTTAATAGGTAAGTTTGACTTGCAAGAGAAGAATTCTAAAAGGAAAGAGATTCTTAATAGGCAAGTTTGACTTACAAGAGAAGAATTCTAAGAGGAGTGAAATTCTTAATGGGCAAGTTTGTATGGTTATAAATATGTGAAGTCTCTACAGGGTTAGGTATGAGAAAAAAATATAAGAGAGTTGTAGGGTTTTGTGGGATAGACATCCCATAAGAGTATTGGGGCTCTACGTCTTATGGGTGTGTATGTTTGTTTGTGAGTGGACTAGAGGAGATTGAGAGGGTCCACATAGGTATGATGTATGGGAGCATATGGGTATGTATTTGGTTATGTTGAAAGGGTGCACAAGGGTTTGGGTTTGTGTTTGTTTGGGTTGAGAATACTTCATAAAATTAGAGAAGATTGAGAGTGTCTTATGAGTATTGATTGTTTGAGTGAGGTTGATGATATGATGTATGTTTGTAATTCTCTACAATTAGTAGATCTTTTTTCTCATCCGTGGATGTAGATCAGTTGGACCGAACCACGTTAAATTATTGTCTCTTGTGTGTTTGATTTATTATTTGATTTCGCTTCCGCTGATGTAATTGGATTGGAAGCTTTTAGCCCAACAACTTACAGCAGCCTATTTCAGGATTGTAAATGCGGCAATGTTTGGACCTCTTGCTGTCAGTGGTGCGGTCGTGGCTAGAAAACGTGGGAAAAAGGTGAAGTCCCCCGACATAATAGTGCTATGGCATTCAAGGGCAGGAGAATTTCAAGTTATACTTGCGATTTATCGAGGAAAGAAAAATCTAGGAGAAAGATGTAGAGGCCTTGATTCAATGCACTAGTTAATTACCAGTGCGGTGATTTTTTTTTCTTTATAAAAAAAATCTATTACTTAATAACGCAAGACCCCTTTATGAACATTCCTTTCATATATCTGTTTAGGCTGTTGACAATTTCTTTCCCAATCCTAAACCCCTTTAGATTTTGTTTCCAAAGATTGAGATTTCTCATTTTAAAATTATTAACCTTTGATTAATGCAAAATTTTTCCGATTATTAAAATCGACCATTAGTTCATTCTAAACATGGACAAAACCAAGAGTGCTGGTGGGGTAAAGAATTTGCTATAATTTCATTGATCAAGAGAACAAGATTTTCTAGTGTCAACTCCACATTTGTCACGAATACAAAACCTTTTTCCTATACATTAAACTTTTGTTGCCAATAGGCAATAAATATGGAAACTTTATATACCATCACAATGGAGCTTGAGAATTTTGTGTTGAACTAGGTGAACGCAAGGATTCCCACTGAAGAAAAAGAGCATACAGAAGCTCATTCCATGAATCAGGCACACCAGGCAAACACCAATGGCTACAATCTTGACGGTTGAAAGGAGCCGGCCCTTTTTCTGGGCCAAAATGATACAAAGATGTATGTCCATCTTGTCTTAGATATGTCATGGGAGTCGCATTCATCATCTCTATCACTTGGAATCCTTGTGGGTGTTTTGATAATACACCAGAGATTATATCAACAAGCTTTTCCGTATTATTAGGCAATGGACCAAAATCAGGTAGCTTTAATTGATTACAGTGTCCTCCAGTTTTCCAGGTACCGCCTCTGTTCATCCATCCGCAACCAAAATAAAGGTGATTAATCATATTCATATCCTTGTATATTATATACATTTTGATGCACAAGCAATAATGAAAATAGATTCATAGTCAGTGTCCAAAAATCAATGCATATATATGGAGTATGTATGGTCCACATAAAACATATCAAGACTAGCAATGCCAGACAGTAAGAATTCATGCTCATTAGAATTCAGCTTGCTGTAAAACTTGCATCAGCTAGAGAATCATATCTACAACCATATAAAATTCAATGTGGTCTCATGTGCAAACAATTGAAACTTTCACTATAAACTCAATCAAGAGCATTTCATCACATCTATTCGTATGGTACTTGGGTCTCAAACCAAGAAATATAAACCTGTACTTCTTTAATTGTTTTTTGTTCTATTACTTGCTCTTTTCAAGCAGTTAATGGAGCATCATGTCCAAAGGGTTAACAATCACATGTTAACGGAAGAGATAAAGGCTGATAAGAGAAACCAGTATATCCAAAGCTCATATCCATCCTAATTATACTGATAGCAAAGAGTGTATGGATTGTGAAAAAACCAAGCTGAAATAAAAGATAGAACAATCAAAAAAGACAATGAAGTATTGCTAATCTAAAGAGAAAAGCATAGGGGTAAACCTGAAATGTACAGGAGCATTGGTGCGAAAAACAACTTGTGTCTTGTTTGTATCTACTTGGCTGGTAATAAAATCAACTAGTGTTTCAATGGATTTTTGGTATGCAGTTCTAAGGTCCATTCCCATCTTCACCTCTGTTCCTTCTTGGAAAAAACAACCACTGCCAAAGAACATAAATCAATCCTAAGATTAGACATCATTTTATTATAATGAGAAACAACAATAGCTGCATTAAACTAGCATCAAACTAATGGTCCTCTATTTTCTGTCATTGTTATTTCTTCTTTAATCAATGATGGATAACTTTTAAATATTCTCCAAATTTTCCATTATCAGAAGCGAGGTTGGAGAGCTTAAACTTCTTGCACTCAATAGCTGGAGAAAGTAGATTAGCAGAGAGTAGCAAAACAGAGTTGTCACATTCCCATTTACCCTCAGGAAGTAGCAAAACTTCTTGTACTTCGTGCACCGCTCTAATTCTAGATTCAACATGATCAACTCGATTCTTATGAATTCCTCCTATAGCTGATTCCTATAATTGATAACTCCCAGACATGGCACTTCTAGTTCACTAATTCCTATAAGTGTCAATTACAGGCATGGCATCTAAAAAACTATAATCTTATAATTGATCATACACACACAAATAGTACATGCATGTAAACACACAAGCTTACTAGATCATATAACATATTATTAGGTTGATGAGATTTACATTTTTATTGTCTTCTCTTCAGTCCACCAATGGCCACTGTTAAAAAATAGCACATCTGCATCTTTCCACATCAGATGACTCCAGGTCACATGATCCACTCTTACAGTCATACGAACACCTTTTGGAGATCCCTTTGGAGGACTTCCCTGCACCATTAGATATGGAGATCTGTAGTATTCAACTGTGCAGTTATAATCTGCAAACCTGAAAACCAAGAACCCTTTGTGCTTGGTAATTGGGTTCCCATTCACCTCATAAATTGAATCCTTGTTGGGAATAGCAGTAGCAAGCATGCAGAGCATAGATTCCCATTGGTTCCTTCCAATGGAGTCACCAATAAATGCAAGGCGCCGGTTCCGCAGCTTTTCCAGCATCATTGTTGCATTAAATCTGTCTTCAAGAAGATAATGTCAGATATAAACATACCTCTTCAATCAAACAGCATTCTCAAGAATATAGTAAACAATAATGAAGCAATTAACAATAATGAAACAATTAAAATGAAGCACGCTTGTACTTACCACGAAACCAAGTTATAACCGAGGTGTAATCATGATTTTAGTCGATACAACAGGCATATTTCAGCTTTATGTAAAAAACAGATAAGATCATTATTCAAAATTTTAAAATATATCCAACAATGTCTCAATAGAATTAACTAACCAAGTGGACATATCAGAATTTGTAACATCATGAAGGAATGAAGAAAATGTAAAATTATAAAGCAGATTGTCAGAGTATACAAATTAGATGCTTCGGAGAAGGTTTTTAGGATACTTCAAAGGAGGAAAGATTGTCAGCCATGGAAAAATGATTTATTATAGGGAGGAAAACAGTTGAAACATTACGAATGAGTAATGCCAAAAGTTAAGAATGGAACGTATCAACAGATAGCAAACAGTCAACAAGCTACAATACAATTTGAAGATGACTCAAACAGACAATAACAAAGACACCAATCAAGAATAAAAACATGGATAAACCAAAAACAATAGTTGGAACATCTTTCATAGACACATCAAGATCAAAATTCCAACTTTTTCCTAATCATAAAAAACAAACATCAGGAATGTTCCTCTAGCTGGAAAATTTTAGTAAAAAATTGCTGACAACAGACACTGTTTAACTAAGACGATATCATACTTCTTTAAGTAAAATTGAAGTCAAAGTTTAACCCACTTTGCTTCCTGTATTCTTAGCGCAAGCAGAACAGATAGTACTAACTACTAAAATCAAAGTCAAACAAAATGAAGAGAAAAGAAAAAAGGACCTTGGCAAATCACATCCGTTAGGTTGCCAACGCCACTTGGTGTAGTAACTATCGGGCCTGCCATTCTCTAGACACCGGAAACCACTATCTACAAAAGGGCAATCTTGGCTTTGATAAAGTGGATGGTAATCATCCCAAACCCATTTCCCATCATATATATCACATGTATCTCCACCTTCATCTAGAAATCCCAGCCGTCCATTCACATTCATTGTTGTTGCTGGTGCCATAGCCATTGCCGCTTTTACTTGTTTATCTTCTGATGGTGATGATAGAGTGCCACTAAGTCCAAACAAAGGGAAGCCAGGGTGGAGCACAGCTCGGTAATCCAAGTAAAAGAAGACCCCAACGAAGAGGCAAGTGACCAAAATGAAGCCAAGAACACCCAGGAAAGGCTCAAGAGGGTAAAAGTTCTTGGATTTCTTGGAGAAATCCAAGTGGGTTGTTTTGTTCAAGTCTTGTGAAGTTGCGTTCTTTGTCATCCTTATCAGACGAAATAAAAGAATGAAAGAAGAAACATTCACATTGATTAATTGGCTGTGTTTCCAAGATTGTGCAGAAAAAGGGTGGCTTTAAAGGAAGATTTCAGAGAGAAAAAAGAAAAAAGGGTAGGGTCTTCTCAAGGAAAACACTGCATTAATGGCTAACTATGAATTTTCTTCCCTTCATATGGTCTTGATTAAAGGAAGAAACCGAAATCATTCAAACAATAAAAACGTTTATGATTTTTGTGGTTAGTTGGCTTTAGACTGAGAGAGAAAATGTTAAAGTATGTAATAATACAAATCATTAAGGCATTGAATACTTTTAATTATGCATCAATTGAATTTGAAGAAGACGAATAAAAACTCCTATCTTTACAAATATAGCATCCTAAATCATCAGAACTCCACAGAAATGTTTTTGTCGTGCTGCTGTCGTCTAGCCAAGGAACAAGACAAAACAAAACCAAGGTGGGAAGTAAACATTGATTTGGTAGCGTCAAAATTTCACCTAGCCAAGATAAACGAGTGAGATATGGTCATATAGGAGGTGGATGTGGATTGGGGACTAGAGAGACAATGGCAGCAAGACGGTTGGAGTTGGACCTCAAGATGTCATTCGTGCAGCAGTGGACTCGTGGCTCGTGGTGGATACAGAACGTGGAAAAAAGAAAAGAAAAGTACGACCCCCCGACAAAAACATTGCCCTGCCATTGATGGCAGGGGAGCTTCAAAAGTGCAATTATTTCAACAGCATACAACTTTTATTTGAAGGAAAAAAAAAATTTGGTCTGTTTGTTGATATGACCATTAATTAATGACATTAATATCTACAATGATAATCAACAACCTTCTCTCTCTCAAAAAAAAAAAAAAAAAGGTTACTAACTCCTAAAGAATCTAGATTTTTGTTGGCCAATTGTGTCCTAGTTCTTTAAGGTATTCTTCACGACAAATTGGCAATCCAATCGAGAAGAAGAAAGATATCGGTCATTGACCTTTTTTAATAAAAAAATAAAAATAAAAAATAAAAAATTCAAAACACTGTAAACAATAAAATTTAAATTTATTAAATATTATTTTTAAAAACAATTATATGAATAAATTAAATTATTTTCAAGTTGTTGTCAGTATTTATATATTTTGCATTAATGTGGGACACTCGTTTTTCATATCATTTTTTTTCTTTGATCTCAACTTTCCTTTTTTGGCAAATTATAAACTTGTCATAAAAAAAAAAAACACCTTTTTCTTTCTCCCAAAAAATACATTCATAATTTATCATCTTGGGCCGATGTTTGTTTAAAGTCCATGATGGGGCTTCATCCTATTCAACCCTATCATATCGGCATATAAATTAACTTACCCAAATATTAAGTGTTGATTTGTTGTGTTTTCCACCTGTTAATAAAACTTTCTTTTCACATAATTTTGCTTTGCATTGCATTAACATCTTTGAATCAACTTTTTATTTTTTGGTGTATCGGAAGATGTTTCAAATTAAAATTCTGATAAAAACATGACGCCGATACCAAAACTTGTCGACAACATCAATGTCTAATAATTAATAACCTACAATAATATTTATCCCCAATTCATTTTCGAGCAAGAATTTATACAGCCCATGCTTTTTATTTGATGCCAACTGTCATTTAATTGAATAGACCGGAACAATTGATCCAACCACCGCTATCCAACGCTCGTGGTACTTTACTGTGAGTAAGAAAAACAAAAATTTCTTTTGAAGCCTTCCAAATACACGCTACCCAACTCTTCAAAGGCTGCTGGCGGGTGTAAACATTCACTGGGGATTGGGCAACTTGACGTTGAAGTGAGTTGAGAGAGTCGAGGTCATTATTTTTTATATAAAACAATGAGATTGAAACCAGGATTTGGAGTGTTGAGGGTTGTATATTTTTCTCCCTATAGAAGTGGCAGTACCCTTATTCAATTGCCGTAAAATGGAATGTATTAGATTTTTGGGGACTGGATATTAAGTTTCATTTTTTTGGGTTTTTAAGGTAAACGTTGTGCATATATCTATAAAATAAAATACCATAAATACTCACAAGAATCAACATTTGGTAACAATTGAATACTTAGATAATTATAATTTATTATTGTATAGGGTACATCAAAAAATTATGTAAAACTTATATTTTTAAGTGATAAATCTTTACATAATTTTTTATTATGATTGATTAATTATAATATTGTAATAAAAAATTATAAGTAAAATGATGCCGTTCGTAAAATAAACTTAAACTTAATTTATTTTAAAGGAATGATTTACTTGTATTAGTATAATTTTTATATTTTTTGAATTTTTCAATTAAAATAATTAAATTTAAAAATATTATTTTAATTTAAGTAATTCATAAATTTAATTTTAATCTAAAAGTTAAAAAAAAATAAGAGTTACATATAATAGATCTCTATTCTTTATTCTATGGTATCTTGTTTAAACTGCAAACTTAATGCAGGTTTCCAACATTTATTTTGCTTTTTATTTTTTCTTTCACGTAATGCTAACAAATAAAAAAAAAAAAAAATTTGCCCGTAACGGAGAGAGAGTAAAGTAACTAATAATACAATAAATTTGGTAGATGATGCTCTATTATTTATAAAAATAAATTGAGCTTTAAATTAACTTTCCTGCCATATTGTGAATCCATATGCACAATGAATCACGCATCTAATAATAAAAATATTATAATCTAATAATAGAAAAATCAATAAGTCTAAAATATAGAGTAAAATTAAATTTGTTATCATTAATTTTTTTTTTTCAAAATTATGGAAACTCACTTTGAATAGAATTTATATATACATTTATCTAACTACATATTACACAACTACTAAATTTTAATTTATAAGTTTTAAATTTTAAATTCTATAAATATAAATAGTCCTTTTTAAGTATATATCAAGTAAAGTAATTGATTTGCTTAATCATAATCTTTTAGATAAATTCAACTATATTTACGAGTGTAGATGAACGGAATTTTTTATGAACTATTCATGAACATGTTTGATTTTTATTTGTTTATTAAGTTTAACAAACGATTTTGAATATTATTTATACGTTCCTTTATTAAATAAACCAAATACGAATAATTTTTTATTCATTCATTTATGTTCGTGAATAAATTTATTTATGGTTCATGTAAAATTTGTTTGTTTATTGTTCATTTATAATAATACTAATAAAATTACATTTTTTTTTTTTACTCTTATCCTATTTTAATGTTTATTTATATTTGTTTGTGTTCATTTATGTTGGTTTAGAATTTTTTTATTTAAATTTATTTGATTATAATTTGTTTATTATTCATATATATATTCATTTATATATGTTAATGAATATATTTATTTAATATTTATGAACAAACTCGTTTAACTTAACCAAAGAAATACGAACAAGACACAAACAACCTATCATATTTTTTTAAATCAAATGTTTGTTAGTAATATGTATGAATTGATTGAGGAAACATCTTACTCTCTTAAGTTTAATTTATTAAAAAATTACCGATCGACTAAGATGTTTGCAATTATCAACAAAGGATTAGTTAAATTGATAATTAATTGTTTCAATGTAATTAGTAGTTTTGAGCTTTAATCTTACTTGTGGTCTTTAATTTGTTGATTTGACATTAATTAGCATAATCTCTATGGAGTATAACTCATTTTGCTTCGATTTAAAGTAGGAGCAATTTATTTATCCCATATTTATGTTTCTATAACAGTAAAGTGTTTTGGCAATTGATTGAATTTATATTATTAGGAATCAATTCCATTAATTAAGTTTGCCAAAGAGATCATCACACGTAGAAGAAAAATTAAGGGTAAATTAAAAATTAAAATAAAAAAAAAACTAATGGATTAGCATATATGCTATCTAAACCATATAAATAACGTGTTAAAGAAGAGTTAATTTGATCTAATTCTGTTATTCATTATGATAAGTTTCCTCGGCATAGACGCCCTAACTACATACGCGTATTTCATACGCTTTCCTACTTTTGGCGCCTTTAATTTCATACCGAAGAGATGAGGATTACAACAATTATAATTTTGAATTCAAGTTTTGGATTTTATTAAAGTTGTTATTGTCATATTCCATACTAATCAATATACCGGTTTTATAGTATATAAAAGCTTTCATCTTCACAATTAATTTATTACTCTTCACAGTTTGAGTTAAAAACATGGCCACTGACGGTGAGCCAGTCATTAATCCAAAAATCATACAAAGGAAACACTCTTCTGATTCTCGAATCCGCCGATGTCCCTGCTTGTAATGGCCACAGCTTCAAGGTTTTGCTAACATTTTTTCGTTAATGTAAATAATTTTAGTTCAGTTTTTTAATTTAAATTATATATTTTTGGTTTTGTGTTTAGCATGGGAAGAATGTCAAACTGGTCGATGATCTTTCATTTAGCGTTTCAGAGCTTGGGAATTGTATATGGAGATCTTGGAACTTCGCCTGTTTACGTTCTTCCGAGTACTTTCAGTGAAGGAATCAAGCACAGGGATGACATTCTTGGAGTTTATTCATTGATCATCTATACCTTCACTCTCGTTCCTTTGGTCAAGTACGTCTTGATTGTGTTACGTGCCACTGACAATGGAGATGGTAACTAACTATATATGATCTCAGTCCCAGAGTTTTGTTTCAAACAAAACGATTTTTTTTTTTTCTTTTTAAGTTTTGACATATTTTATGTGACACCTTTCAGGTGGAACATTTGCTCTATACTCACTCATTTGCCGATACGCGAAGGTGAGTTTGATCCCAAGTCAACAAGCTGAGGATCATGTCGTTTCCAATTTTTGGATCCAGTTTCCAAGCAGGCGACTGAAAAGGGCATCAGCACTCAAAGCTAAGCTAGAGAAAAACCACTTTGCCAAGTAGTTCCTATTGCTTGCCACCATGCTTGGAACTTCTATGCTCATTGGGGATGGCATCCTCACACCTTCCATTTCAGGTTTATTATTAACAAACCTTTAAAGAATAATGATTTGCCATGTATAAATATTTTATTTTTGTTTTCGTATTATCTTCGTACTCATGGTATTGCTGCAACTTGCATTGTAGTTTTATCTGCAGTTGGGGGCATCAAGCAAGCTACGTCTGCAATGACAGAAGGTTTTTCTCCCATTTTGTGCATCATTTGGCCAATTCTTGGTTGAACTTTCCAGTGACTGTTTATTCATTTGCTTATTTGTAAATTCGTTTGGAGCAGATATGGTTGTTTGGATAGCTGTAGCCATCTTGATCTTCCTCTTCATGATTCAAAGATTTGGGACTGACAAAGTGGGTTATAGCTTTGCTCCTATAATGTGCGTATGGTTCATACTTATTGGTGGGATTGGCCTCAACAACTTCATTAAATTTGATCCACTAATTGTCAAAGCTATAAATCCACAATACATTATAGCCTATTTCATGAGAAACAAAAAGGACGCGTGGATTTCCCTTGGAGACATTATCCTTTGCGTAACAGGTTTAAATCTTTTGTTCCATTTTTATGCTCATCTATAAGGCCTGTTTGTATCGAGAAGGTGAAAAAAAAAATTCATTTTAATGCTGGAGCTGAAACATTATTTGCTGATGTTGGGCATTTTACTGTTCTATCTATACAAATAAGCACATGTGCCATTGTCTACCCTTCTATTTTGTTAGCATATACTGGACAAGCCTCTTTCCTTCGCGAGCACCAACAATATGGAGCTGATGCCTTCTACAAATCTGTACCAGGTGAATGATAATATTGCCAATTGACACTTTGTTTCTTTACCCAGTGACGAAACTTATAAACTGAAACAATTTTTATACATGTTTTTCTTGTTCTATAATTCATACTTGCAATGCAGACTCTTTGTATTGGCCAGTGTTTGTGGTGGCTGTGTTGGCTGCAATCATAGGGAGTCAGTCATTGATTTCAGGGACTTTCTTCGTAATTCAACAGTCACTTTCACTAGGTTGTTTCCCTCGTGTGAAGGTTATACACACATCAACTAAGAACCAAGGACAAGTCTATATTCCTGAAATCAATTACCTTCTTATGCTAGCACGTGTGGGAGTCACTCTTGGTTTCAGGACTACAGACAAGATTGGCAATGCATATGGTAATCCATTGGCATTAATATTGTTTTACCCTTTTCTCCTGATGCTGAAAATAGTTGTTGCAGTCAGGTCTCGATGAATTTCGTCAGTCTGGAGTAGCTTTGATAGTCAAAATTGAAACTAATTATGACTCTGTGCTATATGCAGGGGTTGCTGTCGTTTTTGTAATGATTCTTACATCTGCCTTGATGGTACTCATCATGATAATGATATGGAAATCCAACATTGTTTTCATAATCTCTTATGTTCTTGTCATTGGCCTAATAGAGCTACTCTATTTGAGTTCAGTCCTATACAAATTTGAAAGTGGAGGTTACTTACCATTAGCTTCGGCAGCAATTCTAGTGACCCTGATGTATATTTGGAATAGCGTGCAACGGAAAAGGTACTATTATGAACTTCAGCACAAAATTTCTGCTGAAAAGCTACAAATGATAGTCACAGACACAAACTTGTCTAGAATTCCCGGGCTTGCCTTATTTTACTCGGAGGTTGTTCAGGGCATCCCACCCATCTTCATGCAATATGTTTCTAATATACCAGTACTGCATTCAGTTCTTGTTTTTGTCTCCATTAAATCAATGCTCATTAGCAAGGTCGGGACGGAAGAAAGGTTTCTCTTTCGAAGGCTAGAACCAAAAGATCGTCTTATCTTTCAATGTGTTGTTAGGTATGGATACAAAGATGTGCAGGATAAACAAGAGCCGATTGAGAAGCAGTTAGTTGAAAATTTGAAGGAGTTTATAACAGAAGATTTTCTGTTATCTCAATCTCAAACAACAGCGAATGATTGGGACACAACCAACGAGGACGGAGAGCTGCAAAGGGAGATAAGTGTTGAATCAGATCGAAATAAGCTACAAGAGGCTCTAAGAAGAGAAGTAGAAGCAGTGGATAAAGCATCTCAGGCTGGGGTTTTCCACTTGATTGGTGAAAATGATGTGAGTGCAGGCAAAGGAGCGGGAATGGCAAAGAAGATTTTCATAGATTACGCTTACAATTTCTTGAAGAAGAATTTGAGACAAAGCGATGTATTATTTCATATTCCCCGTGACAGGATGCTCAAAATTGGGATGACTTACGAGCTGTAGAGTATGCAACTGGAATGTGTTTTCAAAAGAGAATATTGAAGATTAATTGTGCTCCAAAATTTAAACTCGTCTTCTCTAATAGTTAGTTCTAGATGAACATATTGTTGATCTAATGATTAGTAGAAGATCAACAACAGATCGCATGTGCGTGTTTTTTTTTTTTTTTTTCTGTTTGTGGAAATCTAGAGATCTAAGAACTTGATTGGTAGAGCAATGAAAGTAGATTATTTCTTTTTCTTTTTTTTCTCTCTCTTTTAGTTTTCGTGTTTTCTTTGCTGGTGCTCTTGGAAAAGCAGAAGACCCAAGAAAATCAAAATCATTGATTGCCTTCTGCTAAACATTTTCAAGTCCTAGAAGATCGACTAACTTCTTGATGTGACAGCGACAAAATCTCCTTTTCTGAACTGAAAAACAAAAAGGTAAAAGACGTTTTAAGCCCAATGGGTTACCATTAGCGTTGCCGAGATTTCCCGTCGTCCTGAAACCAAGAGTGATAACAAGAGCTAGCATTAAGTAGGTAACGCATAATCAAGTAGACCTGCAAATAAATGCTCCATGAAAGGGCTAGTTCGAAGAAGAGCACATGCTCTGCCAGTAATAGAGAGAACTGGCCTACCAGGTCCAGGGGAGAGCCAATGACGCTTGAGTGGGGAATTCTACAGATTATCCCTTAAATCAGTTATATAACAAGTTAACAACCACTAAGCAAGGACAATACAAGTTGGCTGCTAGTAAAACAGATTTTCTTTAACACCAGCAAGAGAATTAGATCAGAAACATGGTAACATCTTCATTACTTGAAGCAAATTGAATCTTTACATTATTAAAAAAAAAAAAAAGGTTTAGAGTTTGTTAGAACATCTATGGTAAGGTGTTAAATTAAAGCAGTACCTACATTTACAAGATGCAATACCAGAAAGTAACAAAAGCAGCAATGCCGCTTAAGATACAAAGTCTGTCTAACCTGCTTTCATTTCTCATCTTCTCCTTTTTTAACTCACTCTGCACTTTCGAGTACAAATGACAGGACTCAAGAACTTCACTGTAGTTTTTGCTTCGACGGCAGCTTAGAGCTTCCTTAAGAATAAGCAAACTGTTTCTTCCATTAACATGTGCACCTTCCATATCTTCCAACTGCATGCTTAGCTCTGTCAATTTGAGAGTTGTCTCTACACCCTCGCCTTCAGTGTGTATGACTCTGAACTTCATGCTAAGAATGCACTCTACTACTTGACATGGAAGGATGTCTTTGGCAGGAAGAATAGACCCAAACCTTATCACAAAATCCTTGTCTGTGGGCCAATGCCTCTGACCACCAAGAGGACTCCAGCTGGCAAGATTAGCAGCCAGCTTAGCTTTCTTGTTTACGACAATCCAACTAAGGCGGAGGCCATCTCGGAGCTCCTTCCACAGCTTTCCATCTTTCCTTTCCTTTTCCATAGAGATAATTGGTGAAAGACCATCAGAAACTGAAAGGGTAACCTCACCTTCATTATCATCATCTCTAGCCGCATAAGTAAGAAGATCAATCCGAAATGGGCAGTTGTGAAACCAACTATTGGATCCATTTGCATTAGGAATACCCCACAAGACTTTTGAGCAGATTGTTTTATCTTTATACCTGACATCCACAATAGAAACAAAATCCAATGGTGAAATACTTTCAAGTCCATCTGTGTCACCATAATATTCAGCTTCAGTCCATTCTTCAGGGTACTCAAGATAGTGATTCCACTTACACTCTCTTACTTCCTTATTAACAATAAGCGGGAAACAATCTGCATAGAATTTTCTGAATCCACCAATTGATGAAATCAAACTTTTGACATCTTCTCTGTTGGTTGAAGGCCACATAGAAGAACAAACAGTTTCCCATAGTCTCTCCTCTCTAGAGATTGAACAAAATGTCGCACATGCACATGCTGCAGTGGCCAAAGTTGGGCCATCAAGACGCCTCAATATGTCATAGAAAATATCGGTACTCAACGATTCCATGCTCTCAAAGGCTGCTATCAACATATTCCAGACCTCTAACATACAGAGAACCACATTAAATGGAATTATTGATGATTACTCAACTAGATAAGTTTAACACCAGCCAATTCAGTTCAAGGAGCACTTTAGAGCGTACGCCCTTTGGAGTGGAATGAGGAATCTGATAACATTTGATTGTAGAGATTGTTAGGCCATTGTGAATCATATAGCATTGTGATATGCATAATCAAATGAGTGCATTTGTCGTTTTGCCTCAAATCTCTCTCCATTTATTTCCATCCTAAGGAGTGTGTGATGGACTAGCGTGGCAGTTAGTTGCATTAAAACAATTTGCAAATAATACAAGTAACAGTAGTTTAACTTTCTGTTTGGAAGGCATAACTGAACAAAAAACTCAATGTTGGATCCCTAGATGGAAGCAACAAATAAGTCCAAAAAGAGGCTTATTCAGCATTCAATAAAAGCTTTGATCTCCAAGATAGCACTGTTCATTCTATTCAGATAATGCTAATATAGTCCAAAAAGACATACAAACCAACGTATGAAATAGTCAGGGCTTATAGGATTTGAGTAGCAGAACCGAGTGAAATTGAACTCATCAAACCCATGTATAAGCAACAAAATCCCTATAACAAGTCAAAAAAGAAGGCTTCGTAGAAAAAAAAAAAAAAAAGATTACCCCAAAACCAGCTGACACGCATAACTATATACACAGTAACAACATTATTAAAAATACTAAAAAAAAATAGACTCCTATTTTGAACAAGTGAAGCAAAAACCTAGATTCCAAACTCCATTTCAAATGATCATGACTCATCAATCGACAAATTACATAACACAAATACCAAAATCCAACCATAAAAACCAATATTTAACCTTTTGTGAACAGTTGGAGACCCCATCATTTTTTACCCAAAACAAAAATGCAACAACAAAAAAAAAAAGAACAACACCCAGAAGGAGATTTACCTTAAATTGGACATGAAAATATAAGAAACATGACGGCGAAGCAAAACTAGAATGGGAAGTGACAGGAAAAAAAGGAACCAAAAGAGGTTGTAGTTTGTTGTTGTTTTTGAAGTAGTGGGAAAGTGGTAATCGAAGTCAAATGAAACGGTAGAGAAGATCTAAAACGAAATATGGTAGATTTGACACGTCTTATTTGGGTTCGGATTTGATTGCTCGAAATCAATCCGGTTTTGAGTTCACTTTCCGCTTAGCCTTTATGGAAGCTTTCTTGGGTAATGTGTTTTGTCTGTACCTTGAAAGGTCGTCATGTTTGGGATATCATTCTTTGTTTTTATTTTTTTCCCCGCTTCCTCTGTTTTCTCCGATTCTCATGGTCCAGTTTTATCGGTTTCCACGCACATCTTGCCACGTCATTATCAGATTTTTTCTTGGTTCAATAAAACCAAGAAAAGAAATATCTTCCCTTGCCATAACAAAATTCAATGTCGGCCATTTAATAGATTCATGCAATGAAATAAAAAGTTTCATACAGTTTTTATTTTTTTTTTAATAATACGATCGGGTATATTTTTAATCTTTTTCCAGAATTATTTTTTTAAACAGTTTTAAGAAAGTCTATAGAAAATTTTCTTTATTTTTTGTTTCGAGAGTTTTTCATTTTTTCAGAGACATTTTATCTTGGTTGTTCATATCTTCTTTTCTAATATAAATGTCTAACCGTTTATTTATTTCTGTGAATGTGAATTAGACGATTTTAAAAGGTTGTTTTACCATGAAAATACAAGAGGAGGTCTCTGGAAGATTAAGATGGCAGTTGATTTTTTGAAATAAAAAGTACTAAAACAGTTGATATTTTGATGTTTCTTATGGCAACTTCTTTGCAGTTTTTATTATCCTTGGCCAGCTGTACATTAGCAGGATGAGGATGCAGAGTTACGGAATCGCATTGAAACCAGTGGTGGTTCGTCCTTTTTGGACCCTCTAAGAAGGACCCAAATTGGAGAATCTTATGATTGCTTTTATCGCATCTAATTAAAGCTTGGAAGCTTTCTCTTCACTTGTTTATCCTTGAACTATTTTACTTGAATCACTCTATAATCTGAATTTTTAATTCAAATTATATAATTTCAAAATACAATTCTCTTTTTTTGATCTTTTATATAATTGATTCTAAAATTATGAAATATAAATTTTAAACATGTAAATCTTAATTTGATTTGAATTAAATTTTTTATGAAATTATGAATATAAAAAAAATCATAATCATATATATATATATATATTATATTACAATATATATAATTATTGACGTGAACGTTTATATGGACAGTTTTTTTTTTCAACATGAAATAAAATTTTTAAAATTTTTTATTATGATAATATATATGATATTTATTAATTTTAAATTATTTATCTAAAAATTTAAAATTTAATTAAAAAATAATTTAAATTCTAATAAAATTCTTTTATCATGTATATCACTTTATCTTAATTTAAAATCAATTTTAAAATAATTTATTTTTTTTAATTTATCTACAGTTAACATAAGTATTTAAATGTATCATAATTTTTAAAAATATTATTTAATATTTTTAATATTTTGATAAATACTTATTTCATTATCTTTAACTTTTAAATATATTTCATAAAAAAAATATACAAAAAATATATAAATAAACAAACACGTGTCTTAAAGTAGTCATATAAACCCTTACAGAAATCAAGACTAAAAATTATTTTTTATGTTACAAAATAAGAACTGTTTGTCTAACAATTAGTGAACCAGTTCAATTTAATGAAAAGGTAAATGCATAATTTTCAAAATTAATAAAAAAAAGATAAAATCAGATGTATCAATAAAATCAGATGTATCAATGACACTTCCACACTTACAACATCTTTTAAGCCTTTCATGTGCAACTAAACAAAATTGATATATAATTTCTACATTTTTTAGTCATATGATTGTAAGAATATTTTATGATCTAAATTTATGATATGTTTAAGAAATTGGTTATTAGGAATCCATTTAAATTCTAAACTTTGTCATACTTTTACAATAAAAATGTTTGCAATAAAATTTTTTCACGATATCTGTTTTGAATAGAGTCAAAATATAAAACATATAAAAAATTATGAGATAAAAGTATAAATTACTAAAATTGAAATATTATTATCTATAGATAAATTTATTATTTAAATATATTTATGGATTAAAGTTTATCAAAATTTAAAAGAAAATCAATTTAAATATAAAATAATTAAATAAAAATTATTATTTAAATATATTTATGGATTAAATAAAATTATATAGCTTGATTTTTTATCGTCTTTTCATTTAACTTATTTTTCAAATAATATTCCATCTTCTTACAAATTTTAATATTAATTTTTTATTGCTCTCCATTTAAGATGGATTTATTTTTTTTCTTTTGTTTTCCATTTATATTTAATATATATTTTGAATATGTTAATAATTTAATAATATTAATATATATTTTTATTTAAATTTAAATAAAATAAAAATAATTTGTGCATCGCACTAATAGTAAATTAGTTAATTTATATTTAAGTAAAAATCATTTAATTAAATCAAACAAATTAATAAATTAATATAAAATTTTCAAAATTTGAAATCTCATTTGCAAGTTTTATTACATATGAATTTAATTTAATTTTATATTAAATAAATTTAATTCATACTTAATAAAATTTGTAAATGAGATTTAAAAATTCGAAAATCTCTCTTCGCTACCAAACCACGACCCAAAGTTTCGTCAACAAATCTCTTCTTTAATAACGTCTTTCTGCTTGTATCTTAGTAGCGTTACATGGGCATAAACGTCTTGGAATATAAAGTATTTGTTCCATGACTAAACTATCTTTATAGTACAAATAACACAATGTATTATCTTGTGGATTGGCATTGCCCTCCGTAGTTTCATGAATAACTGAGGCTTCCGGGTGGTTTTATGGTATTGACTAGTTCTCTCCTAAAAGTTTATTGGATGGGAGTACCATTTTGCAAATAGTTGGACCTAACTACTAGTACTAGTAGCATAAAAGAATCATGGAGTAGTGAGCACAAAGATTTCAATTTACGCAAATGAAAACGACCTTTAGATTTGAACTTTTAAATTTTCATTAATGGGATAGTACTAAAATGACAGATATTACTGGAGTGGAGAATTGAACCACACACCACGACTTGCGTGATTTTGCATCCATGGATGTTATGATTCAAAGGAGCTGTTTCAAGAAAATGACTCGAGAACCACAAAAACAAAGGTGAGCTGGCAAGGCATTTTTGGATATTAAAAAACAAATAGAAGGAGAGCTTTAGGTGACCTACATAGGGATGAGGAGCACTTAATAACGAAGTGGTGATAGATATAAAATGTTACATTGGCGTAACAGCAAGACATGGCTAGTAATTTACTCTACTGTACCCTGGTGGGTCTACTGTGCTGCCATTGGCCTCCTAGCCACCGAACCTGGTGGTGGAGAAAGAAATTTCAATTCCAGGACAAACCAGATGAATATGATAGATAGCTGCATTTTACCACACGCCATTAACAAGGCTAGAAGACTCGGACAATCTATCCATTTAATTTTTTTTAATTTTTAATTTATTATTATTATTATTATTATTATTCTATACATTCTCATAAAGTTTTTAAATTATATATATAATTAGAACAATATCACTGTCATTTTATTTATAATATTAACCTCTTAAGTATTTTAAATATATTTTAATAAAATATGTGACAATTTTTATTTATTAATTATTTTAAATAATAAAATATATGATAGAATTTAAAAATTCTATCAAGAATATATGAGATTTTTTTTTTACTAATTTTTCAACTCAATGAATGGAAAGAGGCGACGACTTTATCAATTAATTACTATTACTTACCTATTCCCAAGTCTGAACCCAAAATTTACAGGGAAAAGGTAGCATCATTAAGCGGAAAGGCCTACTCACATTTGGGTGGGTATTGCCGTAATAGGGTTATAAATGATTACCTTTACCGGTTTATTATTAAAAAAAAAAAAAGAAAAGGAAAAAAGCTTACCCGAAGCTTAATTTTCTGGATTTGATAATTTTTGTAGTTTTCTAATCTTGATTTGAATATTTAACGGATAGATGGTGAGCAAGTTCCAGCAACATCTAGTTTGGAAGCTAAGGCACTCGCAGTGTGGGAAGGGTATTCGAAATGGATTCACCTATTCTGTATAATCACCATAAATGAGAATAAAATATTACTATTAAAAATTATATAGAACAAAAAATTTAATTATGTAATATATAAAATTTAATAAATAATTAAAAATATTAAATTATTTTTCTATTTTAATTTTATTAATAAATAATTAATAATTTTATCTTGTCAAAAAAGAAATTATTTGAAAACAAAATAAAATGGAATAAAGAAGAACAAGCGTAAAAAAAAAAGGTAAAAGTGAAAAAAAAATTGCTATTGAAATTTAAAAATTTTCACTGAACCCAAATGGATCCAGTCTCTCTAATTGGATATGCAGCGCCATTAAAGTATCTGAGAGTACAATACATTTGTTATCTAAACATTGAGGTGACACGATAAAACCCTCTTTTCGCACCTCATCATAGTTGCATTTAAATCCAAATCAGGCCTAAGTATCTCTTACTTACCAAGTCTAAAGTGCAAAAAAAACAAATGCTAAATTGGATGCACTTTCGAGATGAATTTATAAATACGAAAACTTTTTGGATCTCAACCAATACCAAATAAATGCAATAGTTTCCCATCAAATGTATAAACTCTAATTTGAAATTTCAATTATGAAACTTTTGGAGCCGGAAGCAATTGATATTTATAGTAATTCGTCATCTTCGCACGTCATTCAAAATTGTTTGCATAAAACGGCATCATTTTCGTCAAAAAAGCCAAACCGAAACTAGTAACTCGTTGTGTTTGATATTTGAAGTTCAAATTCAAAAACAGATGCTTTATTTCCAAAAAAAAAAAAATAAAGGACAAAATAATAATGTAGAAGAAACAGAACTAGTAGGGATCAAAATACTCACGCTCTTACGTAAATTGAAAGGACAATACAAGCTAAACTAGTAGCAACCACTTCAAATTGCTAATCCCTAACTGTAATAATTTCATTAATCCTAAAATTTAAAAGCCATAATTCTAAAATAATAATAATAATAATAATAACAAAAGCCACAAAAAAGAAAGCCACATAATTCTAACTACTCGGACCAATCACCAAAAGTTTTGTTTAATCAGTTGCACCTTACAATTTATGCCAGCGGTGCGTTCTTGGCGACGGCATCAGTATAGGCCTCCGACTAGGAAAATCATCGTTGCCCTCCACGACGTCTTTGATTTCGCGATCACGATCAACCTGGCGCACGTCCATGTCGTCGGGATCGCGTTCAGGGTCAGACTTGTCCATGGCAGCACGAGCCTGGTCCAGGAAGGGCTTAAATGTCATCTCCATCGCAAGCCATCCAACCGCTAGTGCCCCGAAAACCACCGCTGCTTGTTTCATAGCCGTTGATTTTCCCCATTTTCTCGCTGATTTTGATTAATAATTTGGATTCGCAATTGCGACTGTTAGTCATATATATAACTGTACTTTGCACAATCCAACGAGAGAAAGGGCTAAGGAACCACGTGGAACCCGCTAAACAACGGTTCTTCTAATAGACGGTCAAGATTCAACATTAAGGGAATTATTCGATAAAAATAAATTGGTTCAAAACGAGCCTCGGTCCACTTCAAATGTCTTTCCAGGTTTCACTCGGAAAAATCTATGTACTTAAAACTTTTTTTTCTCGTCACTAGCAACTGATGGAACAAAAACCAAAGGAAAGCAGTTCCTAACCGAAGGTCAAGAACATGAACAACCTTAACTAATGTGCTCATATAATGGAGTATTTGATACCTCTCATAAGTAATAACATCAATAACCCAAGTGGCAGGCTCAACATTAACACTACCATAGTAGGATCGTGATAATCCAAGACTGCCTTCTATTTTTACTTTTTCTCTTTTTAAAAGCAACAACTGGAAATAAGATTATCTGCTTTAGCTAATTGCATTCGATAATCTTAGAATTCGTGATTAAGCCATCCAACACAGGCTAATAATCACACAGACTAGTAAAATGCCAATAAAATTCCTTTAATGTCCGTAACATCACCCACAAATTCTCCCTACAACAAATCTGTCTACGCATCCAGCTGTCAACAAAAATTTGCAAGCAAGGCAAGATATTTAACGACCTCGACCACGTCCACGACCACGGCCACGACCCCGACCACGTCCCAAAGGCCTCCCTGAAATTGGAAATAAATTAGAAAGATCAATTCAAACGATCCTTCAAGAAGAAAAAGTTTATACAAGTTAGGGGATTCAAAAAGAGAAAAGATGGGGCTTGAGAGAAATGGAAATACCAGCTGTTGGCTTCTTGGGTTTCACCCTAGGTGTTTCTTCAACCAGCAATGTCTCAAGATTTAAGCTGTCAGGCAGGATATAGTAGCGAATATTATTACCCCTCACACTAAGGTGATCCAAACTTACTGGATTTTTCCCCTTCAATGTAAGTTTCACTGTTTTCAGATGGGTGTTCATACTGATATCCACACCTACAACAAAAACAGCAAATCAATCAGTCAGAAAGCTTGCATACCAAAATGTTTATGTTTCAATCAGGAAATCCCCAAAGTATATTTAGCCATCTTTATACTCTATCGCTCATGGTCAAAACAGATACTCTCTATGTCAGAAGCATATAGGAAAACTTTTGACTATCAAAATACAAAATAAGAAAGAATGAGAGACATAGAAGCACATTAGGGACGAAGAAATCCAGCAAAATAAACAACTAAACTTTTTACTGCTACATGTGTGACAAAAGGGACCTTTACTTCAAGCCAAAAGAGCCACACATGTTTATGTAATTTTGTATCCAAGTATATGCTCCCAGAAACTGTTGTTGCCTCTTGTAAGATATCATCACTATTTTTCACCTATAGAAACCATCATGAGCTTAAAGTGCTGTAAGAGATTATCAGTTAAGACAAAGAGAACCAGCTCATCTTTTCCAGAAGGAGAATGAGTTCAAAGTTTGTGTCATTATTAACATTAAGAACAGTGACTATGGTGTTCTCATAACAGAATAGCCAAAAGTAGATTACTAATATGAGATTATAAGCTGGTAAGAAGCTACCACCACCACCCAAAAAAAAAAAGGAACATGTTGCTGAAATCCACTTGTTCAACAACCAGGAAAGCAGTAAATAAAAAAAGAAATGCTGGAAAAATAGATAGGGTTTAGATAGCCAAGAAGAATTCCCCAGTGTTATATAACCCTCCAACTATTCAGCAAGTGAGAGAGTAGAAAATAAACATGTTCTGTAATAAAGGTACACAAAGTCATCCGTTAACAACAACGAGGTGAAAAGAAATTGTGCACACAGTAATTGGTTAGTCACAGAAATGAAAGTCCGCAAATGACCCAGTTTCATCTAATATGAGTAACTAACTCATAACAAGATATCATATGTGCAAATGGATAGTCAAAGCATACTAAGTCCAAAACCAGTTCATCTTAAAAGGTAATAACAAGTGATATCGTAGGTGAGCACCTAAATCTATCCCCAATTTTGAAGTTAGCAATTTAACTGAAAGGATAGCTACAGAATACATAATTGAAATGGGAATTATGATTATAGTTGGCATTATTCATTTTAGGAAAAAAAACAAAAAAAATGAGAAACAATAAACCCTCAATAACTATGGCACATGGACAAGAAATTTTAACAAATAATCCTAAGATCTTACAACTTCATTAAAACGGAGGGTTAGGGTTTAGCTAAACCCTAATGTACAGGAAAAATGAGAAGGGAAAGAAAGGAACCTGTGATGGTGCCGTGAACAACGGTTCCGTTCTTGAGCTCAATCGACACCGTTTCATTGTTCAACTTCATCAAAAACCTGCTCATTATTGTTCAAATCAAAACCATTATATTAAGAATCTAAAAAGATATTTTCCACATCACTTCGTACACAAAAGAAATGAAAACATATCTTAGTAAAAGAAAAGATGAAACTCGATAAACTGACCTGACGAGCTTCATGTTGAGTAGAGAGACAGAGGAGAGATAGGGCTTGAATCAAAGGCGAGAGCCTGTCGAACTGTGGAAGTAGGCGGGAGAGAGAGGGACCTGTTTACTGCCAGGTTTGCTCTGGAAGGGGATCTAGGGCTCGGGCTACTACTGCTAAAAGCCATTTTGAATTTTGTGAGTTTCTTAAAACGACGCCGTAGGAAGAATAGTTGTTCTTAGGTATCGGCCCGAGACTTCACCACCGACCAATTTATGGTCCAAGATCGATCAAAGGAGGGATTGAAACCCAAAAGAAACCCAAAAACTTACGGCGTAAACCATCCTCATAAGTGTGAAAACCAACGAAGATGGGGTATTTCTATGGCATAAGTAAAAATAAATAAATAAATAAATAAAATTAAATAATCACATAAAATTTTATTATAATTAATTGAATTTTGAAATATTTATTTTTATTTAACTGAATTCTTATCAAATGAAAGTTTATTAATCATTAATATCCATTTTCAACTGATTAAGACTACAATTAAATGAAAATAAATGTTTAAAGATGCAATTATATGAAATAAATATTTAAAAGTTTAATAGGATGAAAATAAATATTTAAAAGTTTAATTAATTATAATAAACAATAAAAAATTGAAATAATTATTTAATTTTTGTTGGAAAGACTTTTTTAGACCTAAGCCTATTTTTGTTTGTTTCTTTCTTCTGTTCCTATGAATGGACAGCAAATTTAAGTGAAAATGACAATTGTAAAGGTTACTAGTTGGTAGTTCCGAGCAATCTTGGTAATTAAGTCGGCTCCTTTCTTCGGATATGGTTTAGGGTCTTTTCCCCATATAGCTGGCTGAAGCATTTTACCAATGACAACCAAATATAAACGAATGCCTCAATGTTCGAATTTGTCTCAACGTTTTCTTGATAAAAGAAAAAAGATGGTAATTTTTTCTTCTTCCAAAAGAGAAGAAAGTAGTTGTGGGCATTTCATGGATGCGCAAATCATGACAAACTTTATTATGCGGTTGTTATTTAGTTGATGGAGAGCACACTCAAACCATTTACATGACATTTACTAGTCTTTAAGACGATACTGAAATTAGCAATTTAACATGGTTGACGTCCCTGGCACACCCTGGCTTTCCCCTGCCATCTCTTTCGTTATCATCACATCAACGGCGGTCCTTCTTGATTTACTCTCTGGCTGCAAGAACCGCTGGTCCTTCCACCTGAAAATCAGTTACACACTAGTCATAAAAATCATGTGGTTAACAAAATATTAATGCTGGAAAATTGCTCCATCCGTAGCTTGATGCATCGCTAGATACGTTTAAGTTGAACCATAGACAGGGCATTTGAGATTGAATTATCTGAGATGGTTAGTCCACTCCAAAGGTGTCAATTAGCAATGTTGTTTATCTTATAAGACTCAATTAAGCAGCAAATGCTAAATTTTTTACCTTGAATGTTGCACCCCATATCTCTTCATCTGCTGCAGGAACGGCAGTGATCTTGTTCTTGGGATTTTCATAGCTTCGTAACTCGCCTACTACAGTTGAGAAGAAGCATCCTGTAAAGTGTAAACCATTGAAAGCATTCTCATCAAACACTAATGCCATCAATTTTCCCAGAGTTGTGTAGGTATATATTTCTCGTTTCTGACAATTGGCTATTCTCTAGTAGGGTCCTGTATATTTTCAACTCATAAGTACAGGGCATTACAAAACAGAGAGGAATGCTTGATTGCTTATGGCAACTGGGATACATAATCTAATATTGAACTGTTAAAACGCCAAAAGGGAGGAAAAAAGATGATACCCGGAGGGAAAGAAGCAAGTGACTTGCCACATGCACCTTTAAGCATCTCTGCATCATCCGAAAATGACACAAATCCATCAGCAGTAATCCCCCAGTATAAAGGAACACTGCCAAACTGATCCTGTTTGTTATATTAAACATGTTAAACAGACAGATCGTTCTGAGGCAACATGCGAGCAAAACTACTAGTTTCCACCAGGCATTTAGATACCAATTATCAAAGTAACTTACAGTAGCCACGAACAATGCGGATGTAGACTTGTCAAATACTACAAACGCAAAATTGCCAGCAAGGTGACCAACCACATGGCTCGGAGGATAAGGGGCTCGGTCACGCAACGCTTTGTAAGCTTCAATCACCAGCATCACCTCATCCACGGACTTGGCTAGACCATATTCTACTCTTAGGCTACCTAAGTTATCGAGCATGCCTTCAAACAAGCAGAATATATCATCTTTGACCCCTAATGATCTGCAGCCAATATGCATTTCCATTCTTATTAACAGGTCCAAAGGAAAACTATAATTTAGTTCCAAAGTTCAGCAATTTATAACAATTTTTTCCCTTTTTGCTAATTTTGTTAACGTATGTTCCTCACTTCCACCGTTCTTTGCATGTTCTGATGACTGATTTTACCAGGTAATAGAAAAAAACACACGTATCAGTAGAAACAGGCTGGCAGCAGCCAACTGCCAAACTTTTCGGTCCTAACAACATGACACGTGGCAAACATGCAATGTTATCAGACGTTGAATATGTCATGCTAACTCACAGTGGACCCCGGTCCCAAACTGAAAGGCCTGCTCTATGATCAAATCCCAGATTGATCTTTTATTTTGAAACTTAGATGACCTATATATCTATGAATCCTTGCTATGAATAGCTACAAGCGGCTCGCTTGATTCAGAGGTAGTCTAAGAGCAAAGAGGCACTAGAAGTCACCCTTCATGTTCTTGCTTTAGCCCCAGAAAACCCTCAAGAAAGAAAGGAGAAGATGGTGATCAAAAACCCTTTTTTTTTATCATGAATCTTACCAGAACGATCAACGTATAAACATGCAGTCTTTTTATGTTCGATAGAACTAACTTATAAACTGTTTGTATTTTAATAATTTGTTTGTGTGTTGGAGTTGTATCTTACCTTGGTCGTAGAAGAGACTCATTCTGGTGAGAGTAAGCCAAGTTAACTTGTTCACCAATTTGTATGGAAACTGAGGAAAGGTTAGACTTGATGTAGCGTTTCATCAAAGCCAAAGAGGTGGTTCTGGGGGATGGACTCCAGTTTCCTGCAGCCACCAGCTCCTCTGGAGGCGTTACAATTTCGCTGCTAAAAACACCTAACATAATGGTATCCCTTTCTCTCTACTTCTCTCTCCGGAGTTGTGCAAATTCAAATTGCTATGAATGTGGAATGGTAATAGGAAAGCGGCACTGTCATGCTACCATTTATAAGAAAATAGACAAGGTTAGAACTGTCTTTTTAAAATATTGTCATTTCAAAGCTGGTTGATTCCCTCTAAGTTGCTGATTAGGCCTCAGGTCCTGTGAGTAGATATAGCTGCAAAATTAAGATATTGGTCAGTCATGAAGCCAACATTATAGTACTATTGGAAGATTAAATTTTATTTATGATCCAATTCACAATTCATTAATGTTTTTGTTCCGTAAATCGGGGAATCATGGTTGCTTGCTGCAAACGAAACATAACTTTTTTTTTCTAATTTTTAATTGCTAATTCCATTCGGCAGCTCTAAATGTGAAGCCAATGTCTTAATCCGAGGAATCATTGTCATTACACAAAAGAAACGAATAAAATAATTAAAAGAAATTATAAACAAAGTGGGAACCTTATTAGGATTACACGAAATCTTATTAAACTATATATATATATATATATCTCAAAATCAAAATTGAATCTAAGATAGCGACATCCATTACATATATCAGCCGGCTGATATGTGTAGATAGATGATGCAACTGTCAAGGCGACAAGGTGGTGGGAGGACTTCTTTGCCCCAGGTTATGAGGATAATTGATGCTTTTTCTATTTACCCATTTCTACCTGCAAGCTAAGGTTTATGAATTTCACCGTAGGATCCACGTATACTTTAATATTAACGAAAGCAATTCTTTTGGTTTTTTCGACATCTAACTTTTGCATGATGACAAATTCTCCCACGTAAACCTCAAGGATCCCACTTTGATTAATTTCCCTAACTAAGTATGGTTAAGTATACACAGATATCTGTTGATTGGAGAGACACAACATCTTGAGCTACCTCGCCAGGAGCGGCGGTGCAAGTCACAGAGTTATCGGGTCCGACGCCATCCTGGCCTTGGTCCCGAGAAGCAATCTCCGCTGCCATTGGCTCCAGCTAATGAGCATTGGCCTGAACCGCACCTGGCAGGGCGGTACGTTGAAGAAACATAGTTCCGGCCCCAATCAACCCACGAGTGTCGGCCACCAAGATCAACCACAAGGTCTATGGGCACAAGGGGTGTCCTTTGGTTAATAGTGGTCAGGTGTTGAAGTGTAGAGGCATCTTTAGAGACGGGAATTACCAGGGCCTCGGGACGGAAAGACTTTTGGGCTAAAGATGGAGAAAAAAAGAAAAGTAATAGAGAAGTGAAGAGAATATATTGAAGAGATGCCATGCTAATCTCAAATTGTCGTAGCAGAGATGAAAGGGAAATAGGTACCGAGACAAAGTATAAATCCAGTTATATTTATAGTTGTGCTGAAGACAAGTCTTGACCTACGCTTGCAGTTTAATGTGAACTAATGTGGGGAGCCCACAAAAGGCTGAAGGTCAAAGCAGGCTACTAGAAGCAAAGCGAGCCAGGTTCTCTGGACGTGGTGGCATGGTAGAGGACTTTTGACTTTGACCACATTATCCTAATCTTTTTGCACTGAAAATAGGCATCATCCGATCATGATCTAGACCTGATCAGAGTTTTTATACATTTATGATATTTTCTTGTCTTAATTCATTTCGTGGAAGGAATTCCCTGCACTGGCAATTGATAATTGTGTGGTTAGCATTAGAGAGAAGTCTACGTGTAAGGAATCTTTTAAATGTTGCTTAGAAAACTTACCCGGCTTTGCAATTTTATTTATTTCGATGAAATATAAATTTTTAAAATTTATATTTAATAATAAATTTAAAATTTTTTAAAATTTTGTTGTTTTTTATTATTTATTTTTAAAAAAAATATAATCTTTTGAAAAACTGATACATTATGTTATTCGATTGTGAGTGAATATATGCTGATTTTTTGTTTTTGTTTTTTGTTTTGTTCAGGAAAGAGTATAACTCTCGTAAGGAGGAAAGGGGAACAATCTTAGATCGAAACCAAGATTTTTAAATTTTTATAAAGCCTCTTTAATCACTAAATCAAAAAATAAAAAATATTTTGATTTATTTTTAAATAAAAAAAATTAATTTTAAAAATTTGTATAAATTAAATCTAAATCTAATAATACAAACATGATAATTCAATTTATTAATACAATATTTATCGATTATTAATATTAATCAATTATTAAATTCAAATATATTTATTCATAAAATCAAATTTCTATAATATCATCACTTATTCAACTTGATTGTATTAACACATTGTTCCAATTTTATAGAGTGAAAAGTCTGTAATTTTTTTTTTTTTTAGTTTTTCTCTTAAAAAATTCTCTCCAGATAAAAAATTTCTTATTCATTGTTAAAATATCAAATGTGAGAACCTCGAGCAAATGACCACATATACGTGATGTTGCTAATATTTCATTTTTATTCATAACTTTTAAATTTTAATATTTGCCTTTATAATTTTGATAAAATATTTTAAAATTCTTTTATGATGTCGATCCTTATTAAAATTTGTCAAAATTTAATTGCACGTATAAATATAGATATATTCATGACAAAAGTGAATCTTAAGCTTAAATTTATATTATGTGATGATATGACACAACAATATTTTTTTAATTTAAAGAAAATTAATTAAATGGATGAATTTAAAATATTTTTAAAATATTATAAATTTAAAAGGTTAAATTTTAACGATTATAAGTGAAAATGACATTGCAAAAAGTTTTACTTGAAGACAAATTCAAATTATAAACTACTTAATTATCTTGTTCAAAGTCAGCTCACAAATAAACAGAAAAAAGTGAAAAAAAAAAATTTATTGTCAAAGAGCAAAAGCATAATAGACCAAATTTATTAAGAAAATTGCTTCTAAATCACATAATCAAAGTTCAAATTCATACCAAAATTCTCAAGCATTGCAAGCCAACTTGACAAAATAAAAATTGTACATTTTGTTTTTTATAATTAAAATAGTAAAATAATTTTTTATGCATTAAAGAATAAATCAAAATGAAATGGGTGCAAATTTTAAAATCAAATCAATTTAATAAAATAATAGATGACAAACTCAAAATTTTTTGTATGCAAATATGAAAGTGTACGACATTACAAATTAATCATGGATAGGAGGCTGAGTCAGTAAAATGCGTGTCCCAGATTCAAGATTTAAACCCACCTGTGACGCAATCCCGACTCATTCTTTCAAGCAAAGAGTGGAAAGATACGAGACAAATAGAGATTACCACATAGAATTTGAAGGGTGTTTTGGCCATCTTGTTCAGACAAAGACATGAGCTTGTGAAATGAGAAGAATTCTACTTTTGTTGGAGTTAAAAAGAGGAAATGCGATAAATTTTTAAGAAGAAGATAGATGGTAGGAATAATTAGGATTTGAATTGAATTGGATTGAATTTCATTTTTTTAAATATTATATAATATTATAAATTTTTAAATTTTAAGTCGAATATTTATATAATTTAAATTAAATTAAATTAAATTTTATAGATTTAATTTTATTTATTTTATTGATTTTTAAATTTAAATTTTTTATTTTTATATATTATTTTTATATATTTAAATAAATTTTGATATAAAATTATTATTTTTATTTTATAAAAATTTAAAATATATGTAAAAGTTAAATATTATATAATTTGATTTGGGTTTTTTTTTTTTTGCTTTTTTACCTTTGATGTAAAATCTGATCCCACCCAAATATTACATTTAATATTCAAATTTAATCTAAATTAAATAAAAAAAATCCATCTAAATCAAATCAAGCATTATAATCTTAAATCAATTTTATTTTTTAATTTTTTTTTCTCCTCCTACTAGAGAGTAGAGGCCGGAGCCACTGAAAGAAGTCAAATTGATTTGTTTTTTTCTTTCTTGGTACTTGGGCACTACTCTTTTCTTTCTTCCCAATTTCTGAGGTTATTGGATTTTCCCTTCAATTGCTCTGACATTCTTATCAGGTGGAGAATTTTTAATTATAAGAACCGTATAAAATATAAAAAAATAAAAAAAACCAACAGCCCATAATTAATTATAATCAGTTTTTATGTTTTCTTCCTAATACAAGTCTCATTATAGAAACACGCTAAAAACGCATGAGAATTAACACAAAAGAAAAAGTTCGTTGATACAGAAAAAGAATGCGAGACCATCTAAAAATATAGTACAACAACAGTTTGGAATCATGTTTCCGAACTAAACCCAAAGCTTCTCAAAGCTATAGGTCAATGAACTACATTTACAGGTGATTTTATTAATGCAAATAAATTACTCCATCGAGATACATGAAGTTAGAAATGCAGCATTGTGCACAACTTTTATTTACAAACATAAATCTGCACGTAGAACTACCAAATGCCCTCCTTTGACATTTTCAGGAAATGGGACAACCTGATATTTGGGAGATCAACTACATCCGTCTTCTTCTTTATCCTTGTCACCTTCAGTGACTCTGCATCCTTCAACTGTGTAACTGTTATCGAGACCAAGTTGTAGAACTGTTCAACAATGGTTAGCAAAGAAATTAGTATACTTTCACCATGTAACATATCAGTCAATAATAAATCCACACTGGTTGGAGCATACTTTTAGGTTTAACCATCATATGGGGTATCTAAAGCAGATAATGCAAGAATCAAGCAGCAGAGCTCTTCTCTAAATAACATTTTTCATCTTTTTAACCAACCCAGAATTTTGTGTGGCCCAAGTGCTTAGTTAGCATTTAATGAAGCCAACACCATTTGGAAAAAAAAAAAAGAAACAGATGGGGTGGATTACCTCACAGACACCATGCAGCAACAACCTATGGAAAGGATCTTGGACCTGCAAGGCGAGGACATCTCCATCTCCACTTTCCTTGATGAAGGCTCGTATGCAATCCTAAAAATGACAAGAAAGCTTATTCCTCCTAACAGTTTAAAAGATGAAGCATTTAAGACCAGAAAAACGATAATATACCAAGTTGGATAATAAGATACCTCATCTTTTAACAGTTTTACATGCCTAAGTGAAAGCCTGGAGAATATTTTAACTTGGATTGGTCTTATGTCAAGCTATATTTGACTCGTGTAAATTAGCTGTTTACTTAATTTACTAGTCGCTAATATAAAATTTTCAACCAGAAATCTACTCTCAAGTTTTTCAAGCATATACATTCTGACTCTCGTAGGACATATTGGGAACTTGGAGTTTACAAAGCACACTAACCCTGCTAAGCCTGTCTTAACCAATACTTATCCCCTTGATTACAGCATAAATATCAAGCTGGGGTCTATAGCGTACTGACATTACACCTAGCACAGTCCTATCCCTCTTGCACATGTATCAAACAGATTAGTTAATAACTTAAAGAAAATAAAAATAAAAGCTCAAGAGAAGACACCAGTAACGATAATCATTCTCAAAGAAGCAAAAGCAAAATTGTGTACCTCATAACCTTGAATGAGCTCTGAAAGAAAGCTACGGCGTAGTGCTTCCCTTGTTCGACAATCAATTCTCCGCCATGCATTCAAGACAGCCATCTTATCACCATCAGCATGAAATTTCTTCTTTGTCGACGAATTATTTAAGGCACCAATAATATTAGCCTAACACAGAGGAAAAGACAACAACTTGAGCATGTTGCCACATTACATGCCAATCCAACAAGAAAATTTAGATTACGGTCAATTTAACTTACAATCGAAATGACATTAAAGGAAACATAAGCAGATAAAGCAAAGGCATGCAAATAATGCAATTTTTCCAATTAAACACTAACCAATATTTTCCCGATTCTGGAAATTGCTTAAGGTTATCTTCTTCAATTACAGAAACTTTTTAAAAGATTGAAAAGTTTTCATAAACAAGGGAAGCAAAATGACCTCTTTATCCATGTCTATATTCCTAAATTTGTCCCATTCTCCCACATTAGTCATGCAAAACGCTGATGGTGGCACATCATCACCTATGAATGAATTACAAATAAATATATCAGTATAATAGACTCTGAAAGTTAATGCTAAGGAACTAGTGTGGTGGGCTGCCGGTGATTGCAATTAAGGCAAATCAATCAAAAGTATAATGAGACACCAAGACTATTAAGTGCGCTAGACAACAATGATGTTCTCATCCCTTCGGCTATCATCATACCAAGTTACCATTGTACCCATAGAATGACAGTTCCTGACCACATTCCTAATACCCAAAGGCAAGCATTAGGCATCAATGAATAACACTGCTCATTGCTCAAGTTGCATAGCTATAGTACACATGAATACAAGAGTTACTGGCTACTACACAGTGCATACAGTGAAATGAGAGATCTTCGGAAGGACACATCCTTACCCCATGGTGGTGGAGCAAATAAACCTCTGATTTCTTCCGCATTCAAGCGAGGAACAAGTTCCATCAATAAACGATCATTTAACCATCTCCGAGAACGTCGGCTTGTAACCTGCAACAAGTAAACAATCAAGTGGGGGGTAATGAATAGCATATTCTAGAAATATCTCGCAACAAACACAGAAATGAAACCATTCACAACGAAATTCATAAATGAGCTAGTTCAAAAATAGTTTTAAATAGACTAAAATTTCAATAAGAAGGATCACATATCAAATGAGCTAGAAATCACCAAAAAAAAAAGGTTAAATCAATCCAACACCTATCAGTAAACTAATGAAAGCTCGATCATTTCATTTTCTGAAATTGATACCACAAAATGGATCGCATAATCAACATATCAAATGAGAAATTATTCTAAAAAATGGACCCATTGGGCAGTGATAAAGAACGTTACTTTTCCAGTCAAGCTCTCGAGAAGCTCAATCTTCTTCTCAATCGAGAGCCCACGAGATTTGCTATTTTCTCCTGCCGAAGATTTAAAGTAAAAATCACTGAATTTCCCCAAAAGGGAAAGCTTTGAGCTTTTCTCAAAAAAGGTATAATTTTATTCATATATAACAATTAAAAGACCAGATGAACAAAAATTAACTCCAAGAGTCAAAATCAATCTGGGTTTTCGTATCATACCAACACCCAAAAAAAAAAAAGTTTACCTTTACGAAGCTCAATCAAGGGAGATGATAGAAGAAGGTTGGCTTCTCTTTGCAGAACCTCGGGAGTCGCCATGACTGTGATCGACTGATTTAGGTGATGATCGGACCTGTGATCGATGGGTATTTTACTGACGGTTTTTTTTTTGTAGGAAAGATAAAATCGAAACGCGGCGTTACCCTTATTATGAACTGGGAAACAGAAGAATATGCCCTTTCTGACTACCTCCGATGCTAATCCTAGGCCGAACTGCGTAAAAAGCTTGAACCCTAAAATCTGCTTTTCCGTTGTACTTTGAGGACGAGATTGCCCGGTTCCGTGTTGAAGCGGGAGGGATTTTTCCAACGTACAATTTCGATTGAGATGGTAATTGGTAAGGTCAGATACGTGTCATTTTAGGGTGGGGCACGTGGGAGAAGTAGAGGAAACTACTGAGGAATATACTTCGTATGATTCTTTTGATTCTTTTTATAATGTTCTTTCACATTTGGTTAGTAGTATTTTTTTTTTCTCAGTACTTTTGAATAATAAATACTCGCTTTCAAAGAGTTTTTTTTTTTTTATTATTAATTTTGAAGGATTGGTTTAGTCCATAGCTTGTGGTGGGAATAAGTCCAAATTAATCTATCAAATCTTATCTTCTTAATTTTCATCGTTGGGATTAATCAAGACCTTCTATTTATTTTTTGATATCAATTAAATCTCTTCATCCTTTTTTATTTTATTTTATTATTTTCGTTCGTGGTAATATTAGCTATATTAAAGTTTATGCTTCATAAAATTATAATGTTTTGACAAATTGTGGGATCCTCTAATCCTTTAGTTTTTTCTTGATGTATTAGTATCTTGCCCTTACATAAGATACTCATAAAAGGAATCTTGGATATATGTTTTTTTGAATTAAGTAAAACTGTTATGGTCACCATATTTCTCCATGAACAGATGATAAATGAACCTCTTGAAGAGATAAATCCATGAGCGGCCACTCAGCTGTTCTTTATATGATGCGGAGGGCAATGGTTGGTTGACGCCTTACACACAGCCACATACATAGTCCATAGTCCATACTCTACTGCCCTAATTTCTGCTTGTTAGTTTTTCACTACTTTCATGCTGCACAGGGTCAGGTAGATAGGCCTTTAAAAAAAATTTTTTGACTGATGAAGTAAAAGAGAGTGAGAAAAGAATATACATCAAACAGGAATCTGTCTCTCATTTTCCTCCCTCGACGAGTCTACCCTAATTATGAGAGGCTTCTGAATATCCAAGGAAGAATCTGCCACGATAGGGAGCATTGCTGGGCCGAAGATCCTCTCCATCTTAGCATTCTCAGCCAGTGTTTTGTCCAAAGAAGCCTTGGCAACTTTAGTAATGTAAACGATCATAATCACTGTGAAAGAAAGAAGAAAGAAAAAACAAAGTAAAATTATTTCAAAAGAAGAATAAAATAAAATAAAAAACACCTATAATATCAATCATGCTACCTAAATCCCCTGAACATGTCTTAAACTTAAGATCTAGCGACTAAGGACTAATAGATTGCACCCAAGACATGCAATTAAGATGGTAGATTCATTTAATCAATGCAATCTAACAGTAAGCCTTGGTTAACCTGACAAATCATAGGTGATGGGAGCTTACCAGATACAGCAAAACCGAGTGCCATAAAAACCTGTATCCACCAAAGGTCAATGGAGGAAATTAAGCAATATCCTGGGAAGAATCAGAAACCAATTTATGCTCTGATCCAATATATATCACTGTATGGAAAAGGATGATCGTGCAAATCATTCAGTTACAATAAAATTGATAGAAATATATTATGTTGAGAACTCTGTATCATTTTTACTACCAAATGCGAGTTAAGGATCAATTACACTCCAAAAGTTAACAAAAAAAGGGGCATAACACTAACCCAATGAACTGTGGAAACCTCATTCCATCCATGTGTGACATCAGAAAGGTCCTTTAGAGTTGTTCCAATATATACCAGTCCAAACGTGGAAGGCTGTAATAACAAACAAACAAACAAACAAGAAATTTAGTAACTTAAAAATGCTCAACCAAAAAAGAACAAAAAGAAGAAATGTCAAAGCGAGGACAAGGACAAGAACAACAGTAAGACATTTGCCCAACAAATAGCTTAATGCAAGGAACTATGATTAAAATGATCAAATGAACAATGCATTTTAGGATCATCTCCAATAAATAAAACAGAAGATAGTTATAGAAGCAAATACCATCATCCCTAACCAAGATGCCAACACATACTCCCCCAGACCAACAGGAGTCACAGAAAGGAGGTAATTCAACATGTTGAATGGCAATAAAGGAACAAGCCGAAGCAGCAAAACTATCTGTTGGTTAAAGCGACCGATAAATAAAGAAAACAATTAACAATTAAACAACAGAAAATTTCATAATATGTTAGAAAATGTAAGCTAATCCACAAATTTTCAAAACAGTAGGGCAGGAAATCAAGAATCCACTGTCCTACACATTTTTGGAAGCTTATAAATATCATTAAAAAGCAAACTTAGTTTCTGGAATTCATTTTACCATATGGAGTATACAGTACATGCAAGTCCTAACGTCCTTGAGAACTATTTAGCCTTAGAATTCACATTCATTGAGTGGTCAAGCCAAAAAGGGGTCTCCAACTCTTTTCTTAAAATTTCTAACTACAAAAGCTACAGCTTTCTAGCTTTCTAGAAAAGTTGTTTATTCTTATTAAAAAAGAACGGATTTCTATTATTTCTTTCCAGGATTTGCTATCAATTACGGTGAGAAATCATTAACTGAAACTCTCCACATCACATGCAACGACATATATGCATAATACAGGCATAAGCAAACACATTCACATTTTACATTGGAGAATCTTAAGCAAAGGACCACATTGCTCTTGTTTTCAATGTTTCATGACATTTTGAGTTCACATAAAGGCTCCTAAATGGTTAGATCCCTTTACATTGAATTCAAAATTTAATACTAAACACATTAGATTTTATAAAATAAATATCAACACAACTTAGAAATATTAAGGAAAACTGAAAATTATGAAAAATGATGCACCGTTACTAACAAATGCAGTTAAGTGAAATCCAGACCTCCTTAACATCAATCATCTGCATAAAATAATTCATTCCATTGGGAAATTCTTTAAGCATTAATTTAAGGCTATAGCCTATCAGACATTGTTATTTATGATAACCGTGTTGCCTATATGCTAAGAAAATATGAAAATAAATAGACAACAAGAAGTGGAGGCAACATATTCACCAAAAATAATATCACATACAGGCACAATAAGCTAAGAAAAGACCCAAAACTCATGCCTTAAAACCAGATCTCTCAATTGCAATGGAAACAGCCTGGAAATTTGGGTATTTCCTTAGCTTGGAGATGACATATGATCTTCCGATCTGCCAGAAAAGCAAATGAAAGGCATTAAAACTTATTCTTGCCAGAAAAAATAAGAAATATTCAATTCATGACTAGCACTACTTGGTCAAAATCTGACATTAGTCTTATCAAGAAAATATTGCACATGCTTATACTCAGGTACTCATACACATCACACCCCAGCTCAAGAGACTCACTGTTCTTCCAAGAAAGAAAGCAACTGTAGCCCCTATTGTAGCACCAATTGAATCAGCAATAAATCCCACAGGCAGCCCAAACAGAAAACCTCCCCCAAGCTGCAACACAGGAAAAGTAGAAAACATTTGTCTTGTTCTTGGAAAACCATATGTGCGTCTAGTAGTACTTCTGCTATTGAGACAACTGAATGTGGTTTCAAAATCAGTAGTATATTAATCTAAATGCAGCAAACAGTGAGAACTGACGGTAAGAACTGAAGCAGGAACAGCAAGAATTGTGAGAGGAATGTATGCACAGGCCCTGCAAGACCAAGAAAGATAAGTTTGATGCACACGGTTGAAGTTGAATAAACTTAAAAAATGAGCAGGTCACGGCAATAGAGCAAACCGAGTAGTGTCATGCAATTTTTGTAGAAACGGGTTAAATGATAGTTTTCAACTTATGCTACAATCAGGATTACATTCTAATTCCCATTTTGTTCTTTGGGCTACAGATAGAGGAAATGACAGAATTTTACATTTTGTTCCAAAACAAAACCTTTCAGTTAAATGTTCACTAACTTGTCACGTTACAATATTGAACAGGGTAAGAATAGATGAGGAGAAAATCAATAATTTACACCTTAATTAAGTAAAATTGAATGATCTAAGATTCAGCCATCATGAATAACATAGTACTAACTTACAGCACAAGAGGACCCCATAGCCCAAGATCCTCCTTTAACCAGGACAAAAAACCCTTCAACATCTGCAGCATCAATTCTTTCAGTTAACAGAGTTACAAAGATGCAAATATGAAAAAAAAAAAAAAATCCACTTAATTTTATAATATAATATTATCTTCTTGACAATTTCCTGTGTAACTAAATTTTAGTTTATCTAAAAACACCATATCTTAAAAGTTAAAACCAATTAATTATGTGCTTATATTTCCACAAAACAACAATCATTCAAGAACACAATGGTGGTCAAACTAAAACAAAATAAGTATATCGGAATTAAACATAAAATATAATAAAAAGAAAAAGGAAATACCTTTTCGATGGGAAGGGAAACGAGGGCGGTGACAATGGCGGCCAAGACAAGGAGGGATAGTCCGATTCTAAAAGCTGAGACCCAAGTAATGGAGACTACCGCCATGTCAGAAAACGAGAACAGCCTTTGTTGCCAGGGCCTCCAGCGGCTGTCGTTTCGTTAGCTGTGGTGGTCGTCTACGCCCCAGCCAATGCCACCTTGCCTCAACAACGACCGTGCCCTCAATCCCACGAACTTTGCCAGATTTAACCCAAATTTTGTTTAAGAAAAAAAAAAAGAGGAACCCATATTTATCTAAATTTAGATAATTGCTGTTGTTATAATTACTGGGATATAATTTTAGTGTGTGTTTCTTTTTTTGTGTATTGAGTTTAAAGTTTCAAACCAACCAGTTTGTTGTTACTCGTAATTCATGTTTGGTTGTTAGCTGATCACTTTTACTAAGAAAGAAAAAAGAAAATAGATTTGCTTGCAAGCAAGTTGGACGGTTATCTGTGTCTTGGTTCAAGTGTCACGTCCTCGGCGGGCGCATTAGGCACAGGCGCACCAGCACGTGCAGCTGAGGTTGAGGCCCGCGCATAGGAGCATTGACGAGAGTTTACGCGCAAGACTTCGGAGAGAAGGCCAGAATACTCGCATAGCACGATGCAGGTCAGCCCGCACAACCAAGGCTTAGCCCGCATGATGCCTGCACCACATTCAAAGGGGCTCAAGATGAGAGATATGTAAAGGAATCTCATAGAAGATCACAAGATCGGCAAAATCTTCTGACAGATCCGATTAATCTTATAATTCAAGAGACAGAATTTTGATTTATTGTAATTTTTATAATTATTTGATTTTAGCTTTGATTCTAAAAATTTAGTCATACGTGTGGTTGGAAGTCTCAACTATAAATAAAGGATTATTCTATAAATATAACATATTTTTAGTAACACTCTTATTTTTTTGTTTCTCTCAAATTTACACATTCTACCTTTTTCATTATTCTAATGTTCATAAGCTTGTATTTTAAACTAACTTAAGCTAAAAAGAAGTAATTCTAAACTTAAAATCATACGAATTTTAAATCTAAGATAGGAGTTCGTGAACACAAATGCTACACTGAAATTAGACAGGGTTTGGAGGCATCTAATTCAGGAATGGGCTTTCAAGGCTTTTCTGGGTTTCTTCTTTTCTTTTGATTTGGGTGAATGGAACATCAGCATTTTTACGCATTCTGGGCCTGCACTTTTTTTGGAAAAGTAACATATTTTATTTATCTAAAGGGGCGGGGATGGGCTGGAAGTAAGCCATGGACCATGGTCAAAGAATAGATAGCTTCTTTTGTTAAAAAATGAAAAGGGTATAATATGCTATAATATTTACAAGCTTGGAAGTTGGAGGTACAGGACAATTAATTAATGGACAAATACAAAAACTTTAGAGAATTAAGCAAAAATTCGTGGAGTGAAACCCCAATTTTGACGAAGACAAGTGTTGATGGGGTTTTTTTAAACAAATTCTGGGGCTGCATTTAGATTGTGCTATTTGGACCAAAATTTTGGTTCACTCGATTTTTTTTTTTTTTGAGGCCTTGCCTTGTTCATATGACAAAAGCAAAATTGGTTCTCCTAAACTTTCCAGAAGAACATACATAAGCATGTAGACTAGTTTTATTATTGTTGTTCAAATAAAATTTTATTCAATTGTGATTGTTGGAGATATATTTAGAAATGATTGTTGAAACATCAATAGCTCTAGATGCCTATATATATATATATATTATATTCATGTGATATTAGATTATACAATGAGAATTGGTCATTTTTTATTTCATATATCTTATCATGTTCATTTTAAAATTCGAACTCAAAATTTTCAAGATAAAGTTTTAAACTCTAAATATTGAAGTGTCTCCTTAATACTATATTAGCATTAGTTTTGAGTTTTTTCCCAAAATAAGGTAATAAGAAATCTTATTTCCTTGGTAGTACTATTATTCTTATTTACTTAGATGGGTCTTTTTTAACAGATAAGCACGAAGCAGGCCAACTCAACACTTGACTTCATTTCTCTCCTGGATTTCTCTTTCATTCCATCTCTCTCTTAAAAAAAGCATTTTGCTTTCCATTATTTTACCTCATTCTTCTTCTTCTTTTAGTCTCAGCAACTCAATTTCCCTATATTTATTCATCACTTAAAGCTCTCTTTTTTCTTTTTCTTCCTCTAAAATCAACAATCTTGTAATCAAATAAACATAATACTATGATCTTCCCTTTCTAATTTCTCATTCTGTCATTGGATTTTTTAAAATTTGTTTTTACAAACGTGGGCTCATTTCTTTTACTTATTATCAAATCTGAAGCTATTAGCTATTGGTATTTTAGAATATAGTGCATCTCACATTGAATAAAAAGATTTAATTATTTATCAATGATATTAATTTTTGTATTAATTTTATTCATATTTTAAATAATTATGTTTGAATAAAAACTATTATCATATAATAAATAGTTATAACTATTTAAATATAAATAGATTATTATTTTTAAAGGTAATAATTATACAGAATGTCACAACTATATGAATAGAAGTTTATATATATTCATTCATTATAAATAAATCTTTCAGTATAACCATTTTAATTGCTTCTAATTGGAGAGTTTGAAGCTTTATTGTATCCTAAAGACATAATTGTCTTTAAGAAAGTGTTCTTTATGCCTTAAAGCCAAAATTTTTTTCTATTATTTCTATTCTCTTTTTTATTTTTCTAACAATTTAAAGGTAATTATAAAAAAATTATATTTCACATGAGGAAGATACAAGGAAAAGAAATTGGCATGATTTGAAGATCAATATTAGAGAAAGCTTAATGTGTTAAACGATTAATATTTCTATGGACCAAAATATTAATTTTCATAAAGATCTTCATTAGAGGTATATATTTTATTTTTTGCATAATTGCTAATAAAAAGATTGATTGAATGAGAGAAACATGTTAACAATTTATTTCATTAGTGTGTAAAGTCTAAACATAATATGCAAAATATTGATGACATTGCATAAGTTTACGCATATACTGAAATTGACTCTACAATTGAGTTTAATAAATTGTATTATATTTATTTGAAAAATCGATACTTATAAAGACTATGATGGAAAATAACCTGAAAACATAAAAAAAAAAAAAGACATGAATTGATTTATGACCAAAAGAATTATCACTTGTTATCATCTAATGAATTAAATTAGGTTCTAATGGAATGGACGATTGCTTAATTGTCATATCTTGGATATATATAGAACATGTAAATTGTCCCGTGGTTGTTATGAAAACAATAAAAAATGGATAAAGAAATTTACTATGAGAAATTAGATATAAGTAAAGAATATATATAGAAAATAAGATTTTGCTACATGATTAACTTTATTATTAAATCATGGCATCAAAATCGAGATAATAAGTTAAGTAAAACTATTTGTATTAGTTCTTTGTTGATTGTTTATAAATTAAATGTTGATATATGTATTTTAAATTTATTATTGGTTCAAATTTTGACTAGTATTCAATTTTTATTAAAACCAATTAAAATTAAATTGATATATGTGAATAATTATTATTAAGATATGATGTTTCATGAATTAATTAGTGGATAATAAACCAAATAATGGTTATTATCAGAAAAATAGGCAATGTGACATGTATTTTACCTGCTAGATATATTACACTAGAAGTGATTTTACAAAATAAAATTTTATTATGAATAACCACAAAGTAAAAATCATAAAAAATCGTTAAAGAGTTAATCAGTGGTCACAAAAAAGCATTGTTGCTTTTCACATATAAGATATTGATTAAACAAAAAGGTATGCTATTAAAAAATATTAAAGCATTTGTTGGTTACTAACATTGTGAAAAATGTTCATCAATGTTTAATTAGGCATGTTTATAAATTAGAAAAGAACATGCAAATTCAATGTTCCAAAAGCACCAATACATGCATGTGTTTAATTCCATTTAATAATGGCATAGAGAACATTGGTATAGTTTGTCATATGTTATAAAAATGAACTAAATGAGATTGAATTTTCTTTCTTGTACATATAAGAAATATATAGACTATGGAGATAGAATGACATCATCCAATTAATATATTATTAGTTAAAGATAACAAAGATATTTTTGCTTCTTGTTCCTGAAAAAAATACTTATTGCAGGTTGTTAAAATGAAAAGTGAATAAGTTTTCGAAGTTTTCAATAATTTTATAACAACGGCAAAGATATGGCTGGTTACATACCATATTAATATATGAGTTTAAATAATAATATTGGTTTATGAAAATTGTAAGCTTTAGAATTAACCAATCAATGATTTAATCAATGCAAATTCATCATGAATTTTTACATAAAATATGAGTAAAACTTATATTATAATTATTGTTTATACTATTTTATGAAAATGATTTTTTGGATTCATGTTTCATGACTTATATTAATATATGGTGATCTAGATATGAACATATTGATCACAAAATAATTGTGAAAGTATTTAAAATTGAAGTTAAATATACTATGGACTCTTATTGAATATAGGCATATCGGTCTTATGAGTAAAGTTTGAATTTATTATATATCCAAAATGTTATGACCAATTAAAAGTGATAAATAACAGAGATATATAAGCTAGACAATGGTGGAGAAATAAAGTTCTCATAAAATTTTGAAATCGAATTTAGAGGTTTCAATTATCATGAACTTGGAATTGGCTATTAGGCAATTACTATATGCATTGAAAACTCATGATAACATTTGAGATAGTTGGTTCTCATTAAAAGCCATCATTATAAATGAGATAACTTTAATAGCCAAATATATATGATTTGTAGGTATGGTGTGGATTATTATGGTTGGCTTAAAATAGCCATAAGCCAAAATCCATACCATAATCTTGATCACATTGTGGTAGTTTTTTTTGTTATGTGTATGGTCTAATTTATGGATTGTAAAAATAATTTATCATCTATGGTTTTGTATAGTAAAAATTTTAAAGTATATTTCTTTGAAAGACATGAGTGATTTAAAGATCTTGTAAATTTGAAAACTTCTATAATAGCAAAAAGAATGTTATTTGATCCATATGGGTGATGAATATGGTTATGTTCATGGTAATAAAAAATTATTTATAGTATTTATGATGAAATAGATTCATATAAATATTTATACATTGACATAAAAAGTCTTAAAAATAAACTATAGAAGTATGATTATATTTAAAATCTGCTTATTGATATAAATTCTTAATTTGAGTTAAAATATAAAAGTTTTGAAACTTTCATAGAAATGTTAAGATATTTGCTAGTTATCTTTAACTAAGGGTGGATTTGGAGGCTTCCTACTTAAAAAAAAAATCAAATAGTGAAAAGATAAATGAAATGGTAACTTGATTAAGTATATATAATATCTTGAA